ATAAGAAACATAAAGTAAGCATTACTATTTTTGTATAAAAGGCATTTATTAAAATTGGAAATACAATTATACTGGAAAATCTGATGCCTGGCTTTCTCTGTAAAGCAAACTCACCCCAAACTACTTGTGAATATTTTAAACATTTATGCTTAAAACTCCACCGTTTCAATGAATTGAAATTGAAATATTATTAAGCTTTATATCTACCTCATTAGTACTAACGTCGGGCTATTTTGATTAAAATATGAAAATAATAAATAAATAAAAATCTTCCAAAACACATCGATCAATAATCTCTTCCAATTTATTGTTCACCAAATAATGGTTGTTCTGGACCTAATAAATTATTTGTAGGTAATTTAGATTGGCAGATTAAATTACGCTTTGCAAATGAAATTGATAAAGTGCTTATACAAAACTTTAATTTCGTTATTGGCTACGGCTTCAACCGCAAAATACAAACGCAAAACGGTTGCTTTTTTAAGGTTCCGTAGTCAAAAATAAAAACAAATAACAATATCCTTATAATTTCGTCATGTACATCTGTCAGTCTGTCTGTAAGTTATAGAAATTTTGGTACAAATTTTACAAAATTTGGTAGATAGACAATTTGAAGTCAAATAATGAAAAATAAAATATATTGGTACTTAATTTAATTGGTATTTAATGTAATTTCAGTATTATCTTATTAAGAAACCAACGGATTTTTTTCTTGTCTTCTTCAAGTCTTGTCTGGTTATTCTATATTCCCTTTATTCTACCTTAACGTGAAGAAAATGTAAAAGTTTTATATATTTTAAAAGTGAATGCACTAACTTTTTAAATATCATAAAAAGATTGATATAAAATACACTCGAGACTCGAAGACGCGAAGTAATCACAAAACACCGCAGGCGAAGTGTCCGGAACTTTTTTGTTTATTTCTAAGGCTTTGTCTTGGTACGGACTACGGAGGGCGCGTGATATTTCAGACGAGAACTTTCTCAACTCATAAATCTAAAGCTGAGCACATACTCCGCTCGGATCAAGACACTAAGCATGGAAATGATTGCTACTTTTAAATCATTATCACGTGATGAAATTACAACAATTTTTCACGTGATTTCACCTGCTACTTTTCACGCATAGATTTTTGATTTCGACGGTCTGGTGTCACACTTTATATTATTTGCTATTAAAATGAAGTATGAAATGTCACCAATGGCGCTACTGATGTGATATGGAGCAGAGATATAGATCTGACGTAGTTGCATACGTACATGGTGCTTTGAATGAACCTATTTTCAAACAATGAACTTTCCCTCATACTTCTACAGGCTTGGGACTGACAATGTAAAATTAAATGAATTTTAAATATATCAGAGTAATCACACGGTAAAATTGTATTAAGCTAAGTTCCATAATTACATTGGCGTATTTAAAAGTTCATTGTTTTTATGTACAATAAGAATTTTTATAAAAGAATTTTTTACATTTTTTTGTTTTTCTTAATTTTTTTAATTTGTTTATAATCATTTTTTTTGCTTTTTGATTTTTTTGATGATTGATTTTTTTATGAGATATCTATATACAATAGTCTTCATTGCTTTTTAAAAATACAAGTTCCGCTGTTCGTTTTCTGCTTAATCGTGCCCTTTTTTGGGTTGCAAAATTTCCCGCTTTTGAAAATACTCTCTCACACTCCACTGATGTCACCACGATGTGACAGTGCTCATGAAATATTTCCGCCAAATTGGGGTACATATAGGAGTGAGATTTCCACCAAACTAATGGCGAAGAATCGCGCGGAAGCACTGGTTCATTAATAAACATTTCTAGCTCGTTCTCAGCGTTGGTGGTTATGTCTGTACGTATTACACATAATCATTCAGTAAAAATTATAAGTATTTGTTGGATAAAAAACTAAAAATGTGCTCTAAATTTAATTGTTGTTTCTAATTTAAAATTATTTCTAAACAATATTTCTAAGAATCCGAAATCATGCAACTCGAAATAAATAAACTCCCCAATTTACTGATTAACTGAAAATTGTATTTTGTTGAATAAAAAATCAATAAAAACATCAGTACGAAAATGTATACGGAAAATGCGAGTAACGAAACGCATTCGTGAGTAACGTTTCAGTACTCGGTACTAGATGGCGTACCCGTTACTCAGTAACGAATACATACGGTTTGCTACAGCTCTAGATTTCACCAAGTTGTGATTTGTAGCAGCCACTATGAATTTAAGTAGCAGGTGTGACGTATGATTACGCATTTCACGTGATTTTTCACTTGCTACTCGTGAAATGTTCCATCCCTACAAGACACCATCTGGGATTGATTTAATACATTTATTATCTGTCAAAAACGTCATTTGATACGAACCATTTCAAAATGGCGCTACTTCTCAATATCGTGGAAAATCCTACGAGGTTGCGACCATGATACGTAGATACCTAATGGATACCCATTTGGAGATTCCATAATATAATAGAAATTCTATTTCATACTTACATATGTTTGAGTGTTTCCTTTTCGAGTGATTGAAATCAAACATGAATGTTCTTGTAATGCAATCTACAATATAGGTCTTAGAAAAAATACCATACAAACTTTCATCCTCATTTTCACTCCCTTAAGGGATGATATCCGGGATAAAAGGTATTCTATGTCCTTCCCAGAGTCTCAAACTATCGTCTCACCAAATTTATTAATAAAAAAGAGATTAAAGATAACTGTTAAACGACCCGGTAGCGTATTGAGGAATACTCACTAGCCATAACAGTTTGTTAAGGTAGTAGATAGACAATTATTTATTTAATTATATCGTAAAAAAACAGTAAATAACCTAATAGTAAGATCTTTTAATTTTCTATTTGTAAACAAATATAAATACTAGTGACTATTTATATTTACATCGGGATTGTTAGTTTTAGAAATCTGCGTTCTAGTTTGCAGGATATTCGTTGACTCAACCGTAGCTACCCTGAAACCAGATGCAAAGCTTATTTAAAATCAACAGCACAAAGTGTCAAAGGAATTGCAATTTATATAAATATAAATTATACCTGTAATTAATTTACCTATTCGATGCATAATACGCATTTATTAGGATTTATTCATCCAGAGGCTTCGCGCTGTAATTACTCCGTGAACATAACACCTTGTATCATATTATACACCTAAGCATGTAAATAATACTTAATATATTTAAAATATTATAATAGGTAAATAACTTCTAATAAGTACGTAACTTTTTGAATAAATTCATAAATCTGTTAACACCATCAACTTTATAACTCCAGTCTGGTACAAAAAACTGACAGTAGATATATCAACAATTACTTTAAATCAAGCCGGAACCGGAAACCTAGACCTCAAGAACAGCAGCTTATTTAACGAACTAGTGTGAACTGTGAGGGTTGCTTAGCAACTAACCGCAACTCGCAAGGCTAAAATCGCCCCTGCAAATCCCCTTTACATACAGTGGTGTTTACACATTTGAGTAACTTAACTTCCAATTATTTTAAGATAGGCCGTAGAATTAACAATATCAATATTATGTCTAATACTTTATAATACTCAAAATTAAATATTGATAGAATTAAAATCGATTATTATTTAGCTACTGCCTACAGTGACAGTTGACAGCGTAAGTACATACCTACCTATTCTCAGCAACAAGCAATTTCTGTCGAAAGCGTATTAAAAGTCTTGAATATTAAATGACGCGGTACAAAAATATAGAGTTGCGTATTATCGAAAGTATAACTTATACGCATAAGAATACGACAACCTGCAATATCACTTAACGCACCACACACAATTTTTTACGTCTAAAATTAATAATCTACTTTTTTGATCTAAAAATTTAAGACAAATAATAAATGTAACAGATTATTTTCACTCTAAATACAATTGATTATAAATTAATTTTCAAAGTTATACTCTATTTTAAGTTTAGCATATTCATTGATAAGATGTGATGATCCCAGATTTGTAGTCGCTGGAACAAGTAAGGGTTTTCTCGACCTCATTCGACCGACGTCGAAGTTTTTTGATCCTTCTAACGCCATTACATAAATACTTGTCATCGGCACAACCATCGTTCCAACTAGGACAGGCTTCAAAGCAAAATTTAGACTCGCCTGGCATATTCCCACAGAAACGCCATCAAGATCAATCAAGAGAATATCTTTAGATTGAAAAAGAAATGAGTATTATCAAGTATGGTATAGTACCTAATACCTATGCACCCATAAAGTTACTATCTTCACTTTAAAAATGGCGTTACGTAGACATTCCTGTTATCCCCGTAGAGCCCAACAAATAAGGACGAAAGGTTGAGAATTAATATTCAATTCAATTCTACACAATTCCTTTGTTAAATATTTTCTTAGATTTACGCGAATATTTGACATTTTAAATAAAACTATCTTTTTGGATTTATAAGCAGATTTATTTTGATTTTTGGTTCCCGACATTTCGAATGCTCTATAATAAACTTGGTCACGGAAGAGACTAAGGTTGTAGATGTCTCAAAAGTTATTATCCATCAAACAGAAATCAAAATAAAGTCGCGAAAAATATCGAGAAAATATTTTTCTCAAATATTCCTTTGTATATTATATTGGCCCAAATAATTCAAAATGCCATTAATAAAAGAAAACATATTTTATAGGATTTCCCGGTGAAAGAAAAAGTAATTGACAGCTTTAAAAATCGAATGAAGCTTTAAAAAAACTAAAAGTTAAACAGATAAAAATCTCATCCTTTCATTTTACGGGCAACACAATTCTGTGATTTGCTTATTCTTAATCGTAAAAATAAACAATCGATTAAGCGACCCAAGAAACGTAAATCGTTTACATTATCTGTATTAATAGAAATCGGTATCAATCATCACTAGATACGATATACTTTTCCCACGCACTTGCTTGTTCGGGCGTCAGTTGTATTCGTAGACAGATACACTTTTTGGAATATTAAACTTGAGACTGATATTTTTCCATAAAAATGAAGAAAGTAATATTTTTATGCCTGTTGTCGCTATCCGTGTGTCTAAGCAAGCCAGCTGACGAAAAAGGTGAGTTGGTCAAAACAATTTGTCGTCCATCATATTATTGCGTACTATTAAGAAATTTTTCTCATGATCATATTAAACGTACCTAGAAACCAGTTTTACATAATGATTATAAAAAAATACTTATGGCGCATAGAAACGGTATTACTAGTTGAATAACATCTATTGGAAATGCACCATTATATCGTTGAAAATATTTATAAAACACCAATTTCATTAAATAATATTCCAGTAAACTTTAGATAATGTACCTAACGTCTTTTGTTGATATTAGAATTCCACAAAAAATATATTAATTCACACAATGATTCAATGATAGTACTTAAGTGTTTAATTTTAGTAGGTAATATGATATTCAACGTAATTTAATTATCATCATACGTGAATTATTATCATGGGTGGATACCTGTAATACATTGTTGCTGTATCTCTTTATGTTAATCATAATGAAAATACATGTCTAAATTGCATAAATAATTCAAGCAGGTCCTATTTAAATTAAAACTATACTTAGGGCAGTGTATACATATAAAAATTGTCACAAATTATAAAGACAATATAAAAAATCGAAAATCTTAATTGAAGATAAGCTTTGCCCCATTTATAATTAACTTAAGTACTCAGAAATCTTATTATTTATAATAAAATAAGGAAAACAATGATTGTAACTGACCTTGCTTAAACACTTAAAAGAGAAAATATGAGTAACCTTACATTAGTCATAAAAGAAATTAATGAATTTAACATAATCATTTATTTCAATACAAATTTGAGGTCTTTATTACAATGCTGAGGGTAGAATCAATTATTAATTTATTAAATATCTTGTACCTTAAATTTTATTACAATAGTGACTTACCTTCACTTGGCTTAATTCCTAGAGGTGGTTTGACTGTTAGTATGGAATAGATAGACTATATGTTATATATATATATATATATATATATATATATATATATATATATATATATATACATATGTATGATATGATGGGTCTTGTAGAATTGTTTTATAATGGTGTTTTCTAATGGAAATGAGATGATCTTCAGCGGTAAAAAGTAGCCTATGTCACTCCAGTGCTCTAACTATACGCATATCCACATAAAAAATCACCCTAATCAGTCACTCTGTTTCTACATGTAAGAAGGACAAACAAACAAACACTCACATTTATAATATCAGTATGGATATGGACAGTCATTACCCTCGATTCATATTAAAGAACAAAAAACGAGGAACTGTAATTGTATCTGTGGATCTGTTTGATTTAGCTATATTAAATTAAGATTCCTCTCAAAGGACCCATAGATTAGTTGATTGAATGAGAATGATGAGGGTAGACAATAAACACAAATCATAAAAACAAAGAAAGATTAAAAGATCTACACATTGTTCACTGATGTTTAGATTTTCAAAAACAATACATAGATATGAACATAGATCCTCCTCCTTTTTGGAATTCCTTTAAAAAAGTAAATTAATCTGATAGGGTATGTAGTTTTATTCATGATTTATTTTATAAATTACCATTGTTTTGTTACTAAAAAATAATAATTATTAATTTTATTCATAATAATTTGATTTTTCATATAAGCTTTAATTGAATCAGTTTCTCTTAACAAGCTATAATGGGTATAAGCAAATGTGCTGAATTGATTTATATCTGACCTCATTCTAAGGAGTTTGATCTATTTTTAAATTGGGTACATTGAATATAAATTATATTTTTGCCAAATTGATTAGTTTTTTTACCAATTGTATATTTATAAAATGTGGCCCCAGGTAACACATGATCTTAGAAGAGGTATTCTTGTCCTGAATCTCTTAGCTTTGAGATATACATGTCCATTTATACATAGTCAAACACCCACTGGCCAAATTAGTGGACTTTCGCCTAATCCTATTAAGGCTGATTTGAAATAATTTCCTTTACTACTTAGTCCTCTATATCCCACACAGTAAGTGTGTACTTACAGAGAACTTGAGCCAAGTTACTCTGTTTAAATATATTCAACAACTCCAACTTCACCACCCAGTTTTACTCACTTAGGGGTTGAATTTAAAAAAATGAAAATACATGTTTATATAATTGTATTGAAAAGAATTAATACCAAGCTTTAAGTAATTTTGATCATAAACAATTTTTTCCCCATATAAACTGCACAACCCCCTTTACCCTTTTAAGGGATGAATTTCATAATATAAAATGATATTTGTTTTGTTTTTAATTTCAAAGGTAAATACTACTTTCCGTGCATCATACAGAGTTTCATACAAACTTTCATCTCCCATTTTACCCCCCTTATGGAATGAATTTCGAAAAATACTGAAACATATATTTATTTAATTGTATTAAAGAGCATTCATACCAAATTTCAAGAAATTTTGATCATGAATAATTTTTTCCCATATAAATTTTATTGCCCCCTTTTACCCCTTAGGAATGAATTTCGAAAAAAATTTAATACATAAATTTTCACTTTTCGTGCATTTCGCGTTAAGAATAACAGTTTCATACAATCTTTTATCCCCTATTTTACCCCCTTAGGGGATGAATTTTGAAAAATCCTTTCTTAGCAGATAATTATTTCTCAAGGAATATGTCCTCCAAATTTCATGTTTCTACGACCAGCGGTTTAGGATGTGCGTTGATCGATCAGTCAGTCAGGACAAAGCATTTTATGTATATATAGGTTTTAGAATTATGTTTGCTTAGTACTTAGTAGAATGATGTGATCACTCTATATATAAGTTTAGCGTATTATTATATTTGTTACGTACCAGAGTTGTGGACAACTTTTTATTTTAAAAATGTAAATAGGTAATTTAATTTCATATAAATACATATATCTTTATTAATATTATAAATGTGAAAGTTTAGATGTTTGGATTCATGCTTGTTACTCAATCACGCCAAAACGGTAGAACGGATCTGGATGAAATTTGGCACCAAGATTATAGTCTGGAATAGATATAGGCATATAGGTTACTTTTTATCCCGAAAAACATGTACGGTTCCCGTGCGATAGAATTTTTTTGTATTTCTATAAGCGAACTCGAGCGCGAAGTGAGGGTGAGCCGCGATATAAATATTTTTAAGCAAAATCTATATTTATTATTAATTTCTAATTTGCCATAGTAGGAAGTCGACTAGGATGGAGAAGCCAGTAAAATACCCAGTGGAATTCCCAAATAGAGAACATGGAAACACCATATATCAAATATCGATAAATGGTATTTCCACGTTAAATAAAAATATCTTATCGAAATAGTCGCAAGAGCAATTGCCTATATTAAAAAAAAAAGTGAAGTCCTAATTATAATTCTTGACTTAAATAATAATTGATGTTTGTTATTCAAGTTTAGATATAAGTATAACTAATAATAGTGTATTGATAGAAAAATCAATAGCTAATGTAACCTTTATAAGGATAATCTTTCTGACCTCCAAAATGGACGATGAGTTTCCTAGGCTAAAGTGAAATAAAACCTACTCGATGATAAATAAAAAGGGAATAAGTCGTGATCTTAACATGTCGCTAAAATAAAACTCGAAGGGGGTGAATACGGGTTGAAAGATTGTATGGGCAACCAACTACTCTATGTACACTCACGATAAAAGTATTTTTTCTATCTATTTGAAACGTACCGAAGGACGCATCCGAGCGAAGAGACCCCTCTCTTCTAAGTCGTTAGAATTTTTATAATTGCATACATATTTAGTATTTTACAGTACATACATAGTAATACAGTGTATAGTGTATAGATAGGTACTTAACTGTAATTGTGCAAGCCGTATCCGCGTCTAATGGTGACAAGAATGCAAGATGTTATTCACTTGTTGAATTATAATGGCTATGCATTAGAAGACTAGATGCCACATTTTTTTGTGTGCTTTGATTGGCATCGGCTGGCACCGATTTCGAAAATATCTGATTAGGTATCTATTCTAAATGAAAATCCTCGTTTAGTTATTTTTTACTTTTTAGTGCCTGGAAGTCGGTTATTATTATTATTGTTTTTAGTTTTTATTTTCACATTTTTAATGTAGACGTAATAAGCAGGTAATCTGTAAGAAGAAAGTTTTTTTAATTACATATTCGATTAAGCCATTTATTTAAAAATAATTTATTGTTGACTTTTTTAAAAACCGCTCGACTGATTTCGATAAAAAAATGGGACCACCTGCGAAGTATAATACCCTTTAAACAAAAAAATAATTTTCCAAATCGGTTCAGGCGTCTTCCAGTAATCGATGAACATACACAAAAAAACATATAGACGAACATAGAACCTCTTCCTTTTTGAAAATCGGTTAAAATAAATAGTAAATAGTGTCTATAGAAAGAAAATTTTAAAAGACTAAAACGTAACTTCATTCTTTCATGCGTAAATATAGAAATATGCTGTTTGATAAACACTTTGGGTCGTAAACGATTACTACATTATAGGGAATTCCAAAGCTATTTTAAATAACACTTGATGAAACTTTGAGTTAAATCAACATTTAGGAACCGAAGTTTTGGTAAAATAAATATTGTTAGATGAAAGAGATTTCTGGTGGCTAAGCAGAAATAGTTTGATTAAGTTTTATTATTTAACTTATACTCTATATTTAGTTTATTATTTATTAATACACAAATCTGTCTACTAACGCTTTGATATTTTACTTAGCTTAAACTTATTTTTAATGAACTGCTATATTTGATGAGGTTTCTCTATCAAAATGTGAAGTACCTATACAACTTTTATATAGAGATCGATAATAAAGGCATTCCTAAATAACCTTTATCACTGCTTTCAAAAACATATAAAATAAACTATTGGATTTGCCTATTTTTTTTTTGTAGGGACGTTACTTAATATTTTCTATCATCGATCGTCAAAAAAATATTTGTGTGCCAATGTAAGGATAATAAAGTCGTATTATGTTTATTTTGACTTGAAACCGTAAATCTAAAACCGTAACATTTGTCTTAAAAACTTTCATTAACCAATCAATCGGTATAAATATTTACGTCGTAGTTTACATTTAGATAACACTTGCCCCATACACAGATCAGTAGAAATGTGCTAATATAATAAAAATGACAAAGTTACTTTGCGTGACTTATTAAATTCAATATGCAAACTGGTACTGGCGCCACTAAATTGTGACATGCTTATTATAACGGCGAGTTCGAAAGGATTGTATAAGGGCGTACTACACACAAAAAAGGAAATCGAACATAACTTTAAATATATAACAGATATTATATTAGTCTGCACGGCCCATTCCGTTAGAACTTGTTACGAGGAAAACGGAAAGCTATTTTGAATTATGTATTATTTGCCACTACAGAAGAGTGTTTATACTATTATGTATAATCGATCCATTTGTTTGTGAGTTATATAAATAAAGGGAAAGAAAATTATAAAATAAATCTCGAAACTTTGAATTCTAATGTAATTGTTCCTTATTACATAAGTATGAAATTTTCATTTAACATATCACTAACACTCGTACTAAGCACTGTATAAAGTTTGTAGGGTCCCTTTTGTCGCAGGCTTGAAAACTTGCAAGACAAGTGTCAGCATTTAGAAACATTTAACTATAACGGCGTTTTTCCACTAGTCGGACCGGCAGCCGCTTGGAAAGTTTTTTTTTTTGTCAGAATCCTTTGCAAGCGTATACAGAATAACCCACCAGAGCTTCATCACAATCTGATTAATGGTTTAGGAACGCATAGAGGACAAACATACAAGCATTCATTTTATTTATATAGAAGATAGATATACTCGTAGATAGTAAATTGGAATATTACAACACTCCAATATAGTTGAATACCTGGACTCTATAATGAAGTCGTGGATATGTGAGAACTTTAAATAGATGTTAATCGTCGATATTTATTTAAATATTTATAGCGCAGTCAGTAATAATATTAGATTTCAAGCTAACTCGAATTCTTTGAACAGGAATGGATAATCTGCTTATTTACATAATATACAAATCTGTTTTAATAACGATATACAAGAAAACAGCAAATGGAGTAAATGAATATTGTATCATACAATACCTATACAAAGTATATTAAAGTTTCTTAAAGTAATTTTGTACTTTTAGACAATAATAATATCTAAAAATGCAATATGTATAATATTAAATTCGCATGTCATGTACTTATGAGCAGCAGTCTTATGCCAAACGTATTAGCCGGATTTACCTTTAAATAATAAAATCTGATAAAAGGAAATAACAAGGTTAGGTTTTTTAAACATAACTACGTGACCATTGGCTTAAATAGAAAAGTCACTAAGAAATTTCTTTTTTGAAGACCATATTTTTCAACCCTTACAATCGTATAGAATGCAACCTCTATTATTTATAATTTTTGTACACCTATAAAACTAAATATAGTTAGTCTTCGAGTAAAATGCTGTTTACTATAAAGGTTTCGTTTTTGCCTTTTGGCTACGTTACCCTAAAAATTCTTAAATAATATGTATATTAACTCATTTGCAGTTTCACCGGTTTCAAATGCGAGTACTACAGTTGATCCTAAAATCACAAAACCAACCGAGACGATCTCTTCTCAGGCCACTCAGACCACTCTTGCACCAACTGTCAAAGAAAACGCCACAGAGCATCAAGAGCTTAAACCGTCACCTTCATCACCGCCAAAACCAGAAAGTACTAATAAGACTTCAGACAAACCTGCAAAAGAAGAAGAAATTAAGCCCGCTGCAGCTAACGAAACTAAAGTGGTGCCAACCATACCAAATAAGGATGTAAAGCCTGCTGAAGAAAAACCCAAAAATGAAACCACGACCGAGAAAGGGCCTATGAAAACAACTGAAACGCCAAAAGTTACTGAAACGCCGAAACCTGACATGCACATAGTTGAAAAAGCGAGAGGGTAATTATTATTTTTATTAATACTTTCTTAGATTTACTAGAATATTTGACGTTTTAAATGAAACTATCGTTTCGGATTTATTTTGATTTTTGGTTCCCGACTTTTCGTATTCTTTACAGCAATTATGGTCACGAGAGTGGCTAAGGTTTTAGATGTCTCAGAGGTCTATATAAAGTTCTTACAGACAGCACCTACCTACAAAATTGTACAATGATTTTCAAAAACACAAACATGGCACTAAAAGAACCTTACAATATATGATTAATTCTAAAATTAAAAAAATTCTAAAATCCAAAATGATCTTTTAATTATTGAAATTATGGCAACAATAATCTATTTTTAAATAAAACTAAATCTCAATATAGTAATATATTATAAATGTAAAAGGGTTTGTGTAGTTATAAAGTTAATGTTTATATTAAATTGTTATCTTGTGAAATAATCATAATAATCATTTTAAAAAAAATTATTTTCAGCTTTGATGGACCTAGTTTCTTTGGTGGCATCGTTCTGACTTTGGGTCTACTTGCTATTGGATTCATGGGATTCAAGTACTACAAAAACCAAACCGAAAGGAACTATCACACTCTCTAATTAATAATTTAATATTTATATTATTATATGTGAGTGCACTTTGCTATATACTTATAATATTATAGCTCTACTATATTTCAGTTTTGTTTTGAAGAGATTATTTTTCTTTGTGCACTTTACATATTGAATTCTTCAACAGGGTTCTTCATTGATACTAATGGTACCTAAATTAAGCTATGGGCAGCTTTTTATTTTCGAATTTATAGTATATCTTGTCACCGAAGTTTTTTTTTAAGTAAGTATAAGGTCTCTAATTTTGTTTTTTTTTTTTGCATTTATGTAACTATCTTAACGAGTAAGTGATATTTGTGTATATATGTGTAATTTGATGTTTCTCACTTTTTCTATGTGAAAGTCATGACTTTGCTTGGAAATTGCTATTTAGGTATAAAAATATATTTCAAATTAAAAAAATATTTATCACGTGTTTTGAATATAAAGTTTAAAGCTATTGAAGTGCAATTTAGTATTAGCATTGAACGTTTTTATCTGTGCCATGGTCTGGACTATTTTCAATAATCCAAATTTTTTTAAACCACTTTACCTAACAGTTTCCTCACCAAAACTTTAGTTGTAAGCAAATTTAATATTATTAAGGAAAACAATGTGATTTTTAAATTAAGGGTCTGAAATTGTATTGGTTTGGCACAAAACATTGAATCTCAAATATCTTATATCAACATTTTGATTTGAATCTCTGTATACAAAACTAAAGCAATATTTGTGCCAAACCAATTATGCATTTTATTTTTTCATGGTTTTGTAAACTGGGAAAGTTGATTCCATCCTAAAGTGCTCTTAAATCTGAACTATATACAGATTATTCACAAGTTATGTCACTCATGTCATGGTCAATAGTTGAGTTAATAAAGTATATATACCAAAAGTATTGTTTCATTTTTATTGTCTATTTATTCCTTATTCTGTTCTATTCCAAGGCAGTGGCAGTCCAGTGGTAAGCAGGTGAAGTAGATACATACAAACCCCAGGTCTTGCCTCTCTGATATTTTCATTTATGTATCATTTTCCAACATGATGACCATTTCTCTTATGGTGAAGAAAAACAGTGAGAAAACCTGCATGTCTGAGAGAACCTAGCAAGTTTTTACAAGACGTGAAGTCTGCTAACCCACACTATGCCAGGCTGGCATAGTGCTGGCATTGCCAGCATATTGTGGGCTATGGCCTGATCCCTGCATATTAAAGAGAGGCTTATGCCCAGTAGTGGAACATAAAAAAAAGGCTAAATGCAGACTTACATTCCTTGTACTTCATTATATAATTTAAATATTAATAAGGATTTAGTTTATAATCCCAAAAATAGAATGGAAAAAAAATCTTTTCAATATATTCATGTCTGTACTTCATACATAAAAACAAGATGGCTAATTTACATAATTTAAAAACTAGTTTGAAAGATACATGTGTTATCTATATATCCCACTACTTAATAAATAAACATTTTGTGTAAGAGCCTTGAAAATGATTTAGTGCATCATTAAAATGCCATTATTAAAATTATATAATAAATATGAACAAAATGATACAAAGAGTTCTTCTATATAACATGCATATAAAAAATACTATTAAATCTAAATACATAATTAGTTATAGCAATAAAAGTATAGCTCAAAAAATATAAAACCCTTTCTTAAATTCAACTAAAACTTTTAAAACTAAAAAGTTGATATATCGCTTTGCTTACAGCTGGCCCTACATTTCTACTCATCTCACCACATCTCAAATTTGCTAATAACATTTCTCCTTCTTTTTGGTCACAACAGTCATAAGCTTTGAATAATAATTTTGGTGTTTTGTACATATTAGTTATTGCTAAGGCCTTTTCCACAGAAACCCCTTTTAACTGTAGAAGTAATTTAATAAATGTGTCAGTTACCGAGAGAGGTTTATTTTTTAGTGATGCTTTGTTAAAATACTCAAATGTTGTGAGGATATCTTCTTTCGCCTCTTTATTATGTCCTTTTAATGATATGTCCTAAAAAGAAATTAAGTTAATATTAAATTTGTTAAACAAAATAAGTAAGCTACAATTAATATGACAACAATGTTTTTTTTAAAACTAAAACATTTGAATTTCTTGATACTCTGAAATTTTTAATTAATTCAAATTTTATACAAATTCAATAGTGTAAGCAAAAGTGAGTTAAAGCAAAACAAAAATTTAGGGCAATTAATTTTTAATTTGTTTAAACTGTAACAATTAAAGAACTTAGTAATTAAAATAAAATTATGTAAATTGTCTACTTGTAAAAACCAATTAATCTATACATATAATCAAACTTTAACTAAGCCAAATCTGTACATTAAACATTTTTTGGAAAATCTTATAGAAATAAGCATTATTATTGATACAGAGGCCGAATCTACAGTTTTTAGAATTTTTGTCTGTCTGTCTGTTACCGCATCACAGAAAAACTACTGGAGGGATTTTGATGAAATTTGGTATGATGATAGCTGGTTATCCGGGTCAACATATAGGATATTTTTTACCGCAGGAAAATGACTCATTTCTGAGGAAAAATACAAAAACTGCAAGAGTATACGAATATATAAAACCTACGAAATTCGTTTTTGGTCATCTGAATGCGGGCAATGCTAGTTTTAATATAAAGAAAGCAAAATTTTACTCACCTTATATTCAAATGTCAGTCTCAAAGTCATCATAGCTAAGAATCTAGCAGAATTAGTCAATGAATCTGTCACATGTACTTTAAAACCATCTTGAACTCTTGTATTAGCTAGGGCCTGCATCAGGGTCTGTATGGGCAAACCCACATGCTTATTGCTACCATAATTCTCTACCATGTAAATAACATGATTTAATCCACATTTTCTTAATCTAAACTTCTGCTCGTGGAACCTTCCATCTTTAATACTAGCTCCTAAATCATCCATTCTCTTTCTTTCAACAATATAAGGAAGAACTAATTCTTGATTACTAATTTTATGTCGAGCAATCCAAGTGAAGTCACCAACTTTCAAACTTCTGTATTCATGTTTCAAATCTGGGTACTTATTAAATTGTGCCACAGTTGGATCGTTCTTTTTCGATACTCTGAAATGAGAAACAAATTATATTTAAATAACAACAATCTTTAACAACAATTAATCTTTATTTTTATTTTATTTATTTATTTTATTTAATAAAAGATAGACCTAATGTAATAATATTATATTGTGATAAACACTAACAAAACTAATAAAGCCAACAAAATTAATACTCACCCAGCAGTCTCATTTTTATCAATAAGTAAAATTATGTCAAAAGAGCTAGGCTCCATTTCTATTAATTTATCTGAACTTAACACTTCAAAATCTTTCTTTTTATTTACTTTATTATTATCAATTTTAGTGATAATATCATCTAATACTATTATATCTGAATTTATACTAATTTCTTTGCTATATGTGTTATCTTTAAAAATAATATCGTTCATACTAGGTGTATTTTGGGTATCTATAAGAAGTTCATTAGCAAGAGTAATTCCTTCTTCAGTTAAAGAAAACTGAGATTTTTTATGTCCAGTCTTCTTAACTAATCCTTTTGTTACTAACCTCTTCATATTTGACCATGCAGTATAATGTGTTTCAGGTTTAGGTTTAGTAAAAGATTCTTCACAATACTTTTGTGCTATATTAATTAATTCATCTTTACCAAGTGATTGTTTACTACTGTTTGTTGTATGATCTAATAATGCCATTAATATGGCATATGAGCCAGACTTGAATACTGGTTTATATTTGACTTTACTTTTTCTTTTCGCTGGACTAACTGCAGTACAAACATCTTTTGGATATTGTTTTAATTTTGTCTTGTGTTCCAATTGTTGGGAATTATTTAATAAATATGAACTACTCTGTGAATTTTGTGAGTCTTGAGGACTTTCTATAAAATCTACTGTACACAACTCATTTTCAAAGTCAATATTGAAAGTTTTATAGGCTTCAAGACGTTTATCAATATATAAGCACAAACGTTTATCGAACCCTCTTAATATAGCACATTCAGCACCAGATTGTAATGACAGTGGATATTTGGACAAAGACTCGAGTGCTTCATTTAGCATGATTTCTAGTTTACTCTTTTTTGCTTTTGCCTCTTCATGTAATTCTTGAAGCCAATCTTGAAATAGTGGATTTGGTCTAGTTCGTTTATAAGTTATCCTTTTCCCATTTACAGAGTTCATTTTTAAAATACGTTATCCTAATTATAACATTTAAATGATAAATGATTCTCAACATTCAGTACTAATATTTTTGATTTTCATTGACTAATGAAAAGATTTAACTTTTAGGTACCTACTATTGTCTATTTGAATTTTGAAGTTTGTCGACTTGTTGTTCTTGATTTTTAAATTACGCACAGATTATGAATTACGTCTCAAGCACATAGTGTTGTCTTGACATTTCGATAACGATCATAAAAATGTCAGTTAATCTTTTTAGCTCGGATTGAGTATCGATTTTTCAAAAACTAAGAAGAAACATATATGTATCTACATGATAAAGTCATTTTTTTATCATTTAGAGAAACGGTAATTTCGTGTACATAATATATTTAAAGGTAGAATGATAAGATGACGATATATGGTTTAGCCTGATCAACTAAAAAAAATATATAAACAAAGACTTATTCGATAAAATATACACACTTCCCTGAAGAATTAACAAACTTTAACTCATTGGCTTGTTACTTTAGAGTTTCAATTTTTGATAGTAAAACTTCATAATTAAAACATACAACATTACAATTAAAATTATATTTATATAGAGATCTACGATAAAAATATATGACATAATATTACGGTTGGAAATCCATCTACCTTACGTACCTTTCCGGGTACAGTCTTGCAGCTAATCTTGCATTATAGGAAATGTTGCCATTGTAATAAGGCAAAAACAATATTCAATCACAAAGTAATCTGCTCTTTCGGACTTAAATACTTACTTACCGAAAGAGCACAGAGTCGTCGTTATGATCATAGTAATTAAGTTTTTAATATTCCTAATTGAACAATGAACATACCGTTAGCGGGTCAAATTTATGCATACACAAATATGAATAATGCGCTTAGAACGCACGCTAATATATATTAGCTAAATTTTGTTCCAATGGCCATTGGCCAAGCCATTCTATTTATTTAAGAAAATTATATCTGAAACACAGTCACGGCACATATTATGATTATGACATTTTTTTTATATAGGCAACACATAATTTTTTGGTTACTATTTATCGCTAATCTATTATCTGTATTCTGTAGTTATCTGTCTTCTGGTTCTGTTTGGCTTAGAGATTTTGACAATATTTGTTTGTGAAAAAATAAATGTTTTATTTTTAATGAAATGAAGTTTTAAACAAATTATCAAAATGTCGCTCGAAATCCCGTTGATGAGCACCGATGAGGTGATTATATCAGTGATGTGATACGTAATTTTTGCTACTGAATTCGAATGTCAATCATGTAACTAATTTTCTAATTTCTTGCAATTTGTACAGGTGATAGAGCTTGATCCAGAGCAATTACCATCTGGAGATGAAGTACTAAGCATTTTAAGGCAAGAAAGATCCCAGCTCAATGTTTGGATCAATGTTGCTGTAAGTTTAAATTTAACCTCCAATTTTACTGAAAGTGCGTACGTATATAGTCACAAAAACTTTTTTGATTAATTTAATGTGGATATTTTTAGCTTGCATATTATAAGCAAAAGAAGATCGATGATTTCCTTAAAATACTTGAAGCATCCCGTGTGGATGCAAACATCGACTATCGTGACTTCGAACGGGATCAAATGCGAGCCCTCGATATGTTGGCCGCATATTATGTCCAAGAAGCAAACAAGGAGAAGTCGAAAGACAAGAAAAAAGAACTATTTACTAAAGCAACTTTGCTTTATACTATGGCGGATAAAATTATTATGTATGACCAGGTAATTTAATGTTACGTGTAGTATGTACTTAATGTTAATTGTGTATTTTCTTTATTTGAAAACCCTATGATCTTTTCTAGAACCATCTATTAGGTCGAGCTTACTTTTGCCTCCTTGAAGGTGATAAAATGGGACAAGCAGACACACAATTCAATTTTGTCTTAAATCAATCTCCTAACAATGTGCCTTCATTGCTTGGTAAAGCCTGCATTGCCTTCAATCGTAAGGACTACAGAGGAGCCTTAGCATTTTATAAAAAGGCATTAAGGACCAATCCCAACAGCCCTGCAGCTTTACGTTTGGGAATGGGACATTGTTTTATGAAGTTGAATAACCAGGAAAAAGCTAGGTACAATACTCAATTAACAACTTACTTTGTCAGAAACCATCCTGCATATAATAACTTACCAAAGTTGCATTATAAGTGGATGAATTGCTTAAAAAATCATTTGTTACAAATAGAAAAACATACATTTATATATTTATAGCACTATTTCATTTATTTTCAGAATGGCTTTTGAAAGAGCTTTGCAACTTGATCCTCAATGTGTAGGAGCTTTGGTTGGTCTCTCTATTTTGAAATTAAATCTACAAGAAAGTGAATCAAACAAAATGGCAGTCATTATGTTGTCAAAAGCCTATGCTATAGATCCAAAGAATCCTATGGTACTGAATCATTTGGCAAACCACTTTTTCTTTAAAAAGGTAAATATTGCTTAAGCTTTGTTATTATAATGCATGCTAATATTTTTCCCTCCATGACCGCGGACATGCCAGCGTGTCAGTTAACAATAGATTTCTTAGAATTTTAATTAATTTCTTAGAAATTTACCTGGAGGTGTTATAAATGTGAGTGTGTTTGTTTGTCCCTCTTTCACGTCGAAACAGAGTGATGGATTGGCGTGATATTTTGTTTGGAGATAGTTGGAGGGCTGGAGAGTGACATAGGGTACTTTTTACCACAGAAGATTATCTAATTCCCATGAGAAAACATGGTATAATACAACCCAAAAAATATTTATGTTCAGAATTACTTGAAACTTCGTGTTAATGCTCTTCAATACAATTAAATAAATATGTATGTTAGCATTTTCCGTATGTATGTATATTGTATGAAACCCAACTGTTTTGGAGTTTTTTTTTGTAGTTCAGTGCGAGCGAAGCCGCGGGTCCTGCTAGTAAACCTTAATTAAATGATTACCCACTCAAAATAATTTTAGAAAAACCATGTTACCTATTAAATGTGTAACCCGTATTTTATCAAAAAGAATATTATGTCATGTATTTGTTTGTTTGCAGCAGAATTAGTAGGAATAATATTTGCTACATGGTTATATTGTTATTTTAAAATGGGGCTGTTTCTAATTTATTCTAATATGTATATTTTATAAAAAATAATTTAAAGTAATAATGTATCACACTATAAACCCCAATAAAGGATATTTATGTAGTATATTTTGTTCAGTGACTAATTTTTTATGGATTTTTTATTGTGTAATAGTTTTGGATATAATTCTTTCCGGCCACGGCGGCCAATCTCATTGAGACTAGCCACCTGCGCAGGAGATATTATAGTGCACAAGTGTACGCGCAGACACAAGTGTACTCTCTATTCCTGTCACTCTCATATTCTTGTGGGACGACTGCTCCACACGACCAGTGAGAGTTAAGGCGCAGGACCGACGGCTTTACGTGCTCTCCGAGGCACGGGGGTGAAACACCGCCAACTTCCCAACTCCGGGCTGTTACTGAGGCTTACTTATATAGAAAGACTCAATAACTAAACTTGGCCCGACCTGGGACTCGAACCCAGGACCTCCGGGTGTGCAGCTACATGCTAGCCACTACACCACCGAGGCAGTTCAAAATCAGAGGCAGGATTAAATATAGTGTATATTACAGCAATTGAAGCTTATAATAAAGTTAAAATATTTTTTTTTCTTGTAAATTTATCTCAAAAGCCAATGAAACAATCTAGTACAATAAAACATAAAGTTTATGAATTTTAAATATGTTGTGCCTGTCTTGGCAACATTTACAATATATAATATTTATTTTTTCAGGATTACAGCAAAGTCCAACATCTAGCGTTACATGCCTTTCATAACACGGAAAATGAAGCGATGCGAGCAGAAAGTTGTCATCATTTGGCTCGAGCTTTTCATGCTCAAGGGGACTGTGTTCAAGCATTTCAATACTACTATCAAGCGACACAGTTTGCTCCACCTAACTTTGTCTTACCTCACTATGGACTTGGGCAGATGTATATTTATAGAGGGGATACCGAAAATGTGAGTGCTTTTAAGTTCTACTGTGCATTCCTGTAAAGATTTTAATATGTATGAGTACATAATACATATTATAATATTTCTATTAAATTATGATAGGCAAGGCAGTGATAGCCCAGTGGTAACGAGCTTGCTTGAGAAACCGAGTGAAGATGGTTCAAATCCCGGGTCTTGCACGTCTGATATTTTCATCTGTGAATCATTTTCCAACATGACTATTATTTGTTTTACGGTGAAGGAAAACATTATGAGGAAACCTGAATATCTGAGAGAACCTAGCAAGTTTACCAAAGACATGCTTAGTTCGCCCGCACTTGGCGACTATGGCCTGATCCCCCTCGTATTGAGGGGAGGCCGGTGCCCAGCAGTGGGACGTTAAAAAGGGTTGAATACATATATACATTTTTTTTTTATTAATACACACCTTTAAAACACGTTTCAAATTCAATAAATCCAATGAATTTCAGACTGATGCTTAATTTGATTTGACATTTTATTCAGGCAGCACAATGTTTCGAGAAAGTTCTCAAGGCACAGCCAGGAAACTATGAGACTATGAAGATTTTAGGCTCTCTATATGCCAATTCACCGTCACAACTCCAGCGTGATATCGCGAGGCAGCATCTCAAGAAAGTTACCGAACAGTTCCCAGATGATGTTGAAGCTTGGATTGAATTGGCTCAAATATTGGAACAAAATGATTTACAGGTACATATTGTGTAAAATATTAATAACTATTTCGAATTTTTTATATATCCATATCCATACTAATATTATAAATGTTAAAGTTTGTTAGGATGGATGGATGGGTGTTTGTTTGTAACTCTTTCAAGCCAGAATGGCCGAACGGAGCTTTATTATGATTGTAAGTACTACCACCACCAATATAATAAATATGTTGGTACATTAAACAAGCACCATCTATTTCCATGGTAATCTACGAGGCTTGTGTTAAGGATACCAGATAGTTGATACACTACACATATGTAACTTTAAATACATACATATTATAAATATAAACAAACACCCATGACTGGAATACAAATATTTGTATTCATCACACAAATGAATGCCCCCAGCGGGAGTCGAACCCGCGACCGCAGTCACAGCAAGTAGGGTTAGTATAAATTGAGCCAAACATGTTGTGAAACAATTTATCTACACTACCTTATTCTTTGTTATAGGGATCACTTAACGCCTACACTACAGCAATGAAAATATTGAAGGAGAAAGTAAATGCAGATATTCCAGCCGAAATTCTAAACAATGTCGCAGCTCTTCATTACAGGCTTGGGAACTTACCGGAAGCCAAGAAATATCTAGAAGATGCTCTGGAAAGGTAATTGCCTCTTGTGTTCTAGAAAGTAGTAGGCCTCACCCTCGTACCGTTCGGGTTCGTCCCTAGTTATGCTTTAACGTTTAGTATAGATTTCTCAAAGATAAGATATTTTCCCAAAGCAAAAAGTATCCTATATGTTGACTCGGCTAACCAGCTATCATCATACCAAATTTCATCAAAATCTGTCCAGTGGTTTTCTCGTGATGCGTTCCGTCTGGGAGAGACAGACAAAAATTCTTAAAACTATAGATCCGGCCTCTGTATCGATAATAATGACTATTTTAATATAATTTTCCAAAGAAAAAATTAATGTACAGATTCATCTCAGGATTTTATTATATGTAAATTGTATAGATAAAAATATCAACTTCTAAATCAATGCAATCAAATATACGGCGGTTTATGCCGCGTATTTTGGCACTCGCAATGGAATCAAAACCTATAGAATACTTCCCGTTGACTTAGAATAATAAAATTTGGCAAGAAGCAATATCTTATGGCACAAGTACAGTAAAAAATCCAAAAACCGTATTTTTTTCACGATTATAAATTTATTTTAAAATAAATAAAGAATAAAACATTAATGTTTCATGTTACGGGACCCTCGGTGTGTGAGTCAGACTCGCATTTGTCCTATTTTATGTTAATTTTTTCTATTACTGTGCAGGGAGAAAGTGGATGCGGAAACGTTAGATGCCCAATACTACAATTCCATAGCAGTGACCACTATGTACAACTTGGCGAGGCTCAACGAAGCGCTGTGTATGTACAATAAGGCTGAGAAGTTCTACAAAGACATATTGAAGGAGCATCCCAATTATATCGATTGTTATTTGAGGTAAGTTCCTTTATTGGAACGAAGTTTCTTAGCGAGGCTTGCGGTAGGAGTTGACAGGTAGAAATCGTCACGTAACGAAAAAACGTTACGAGACGTTCGGTAAATAAATTAATAAAATTTTATATTTTAATACAAGTATTTACTATTTCCATACGTTTAATGTTATTAAATAGCTAAGAATTTGTATATAATTTGGGACCCATTGGATGGGTTTGTCTCGGTATTGGTATGAAATGAAATTTAACTTCGTTCTATTTAGACTTTTTACATAACTTATCTTAATTCCACATGTTCATCTTCATGGATGCATTATTGTATTATCAGTATGGGACTCTGTCCAATCGACGCGGAATCGTCCGTAGAAGGTTTAAGGTTATTGAAGTGAAACTTCTTTAGAATCGTTGTGATTTGAAACTCGATGCAACGGAAATGCGACAGTAAAAAGAGACAAACATATAAATATATAGGATTAAGCCGGCGATAGAATGAGATAGAATACATTGCGATGATGCCATGGTAACCGTTGTCATGGTAACCGTTGTTATTTGATAGAATACATTACACAGGAAGTGAAAAATAATTAAATTCATTACTGATTATTATGTAATGTTTATATTTATGTCAAATAAAATGTAAAATAACTTTTAAACTTGGTAAAAATAATATAAAAATATCCTTATCCTACTCCTGATACTCTATATTCATATCATTTTCTGAAGTTTCACTTCTACGATGTGTGAATTGCACATTAATTTTTTTTTTTTTGATTTCTGTACACTTTGCACCATTTTTTTTCTTCTTTCTAAGGTATTTTTTCCAAAGTTTTTTTTTATTTAACTTAAACGTTTCATTTATAAGCAAAAACTTCAAATATACATTAAGGTCTAACCAAAAAAAACATTTACGTACGCCCAGCAAAGTGGACGGGTGACAACTAGGTACTGTATATATTAGATTTTACTTGAGGATATACTTTTTACTTAATAAAGGAATATAAGGAAGGTATAAGAACACTATGGATTTGCGATGCCCTGGGCTAATTCTTGGGGGCCTAAACTAATTATCATTTTGTCCTTATAAAATCTGTAAAGATAGATAATACTAGACGAAATGAGGATAACAAGCATAACGTTATTTTGTGGTTCATTTTGGCCGAGATTTTATGGCCTTAATTTTTCTTATTTTAGATATTTTTTTATTTTATAAATTCACAATATTATCTGTTATTTTGCAAAAGTGCTCGTTATACCTTAGTGGCCCTGGGCTTGCAGCTCAGATAGCCTATCTATATAAATAGAGGATAGATAAGAGATAACAAGTTTATTTTTTGTCTCAGGTTAGGTTGTATGGCGCGTGATAAAGGTCAAATATATGAAGCGTCAGATTGGTTCAAGGAAGCGTTGAAGGTCAACACAGAGCACCCCGATACTTGGTCGCTGTTGGGCAACTTACATTTAGCACAACAGGAATGGGGTCCCGGACAGAAGAAGTTTGAGAGGATATTGCAGAATTCATCCACATCCAATGATGCATACTCTTTGATTGCACTTGGTGAGTAATGTGTTTTTTTTTATATTTTTAAGGGATGATTTTTGGTAATAACTATCTTGTATTCTTCCCGGGGTCTCGAACTATTTCCATACTAAATTTCATCTGAAAATCGACTAAGCATAAAAAGGTACAAGACAGAGTTACTTTCGCATTTTGTGTTGTGACAGTTACATTCGCAGAGGCAGAGTTTGCTTGAACGCACTAATCTGAGGAATTACTAATCCGATTGAAAAAAATCTTCTTGTATTAAGTAGCCCGTTTATTGAGGAAGGCTAGGCTATATATCATCATGCTACTACCCAAAAGAGCGGAGGAGTAATATACTATATAGCTCAACCCATGACTCTTAAAGCCCTTTCTTCTTTTATTAAATAACCTCGCATGTAACACACTAACCCCATTTGGATGGATTCTTAAAATCCACCCGATCCCATAGTTTTGTTCAGTTTTTTCGCAACATTTTTAATTTTAAAATTATACATGCATGAATCTATTTGAAATAAAATAAAATATCAAAAAAATAACAAAACATGAATATACTTAAAAAAAACGCCCAATGTATGTATGTCTGTGGGTATTAGACTTACTCATAAAAAAATATAATATATATAGTCTATTTATTCTGCACTAACCATATGGTTTTTAAAATGCCCGGAAATTATCAATAATGTCCTATTAATTACTTGGTCCATAACATAATATGAATATAATATTTATTTATTTCTAAAGGAAATGTATGGCTTCAAACACTTCATCAGCCGTGTCGGGAGAAAGACAGAGAGAAGAGGCATCAAGAGCGAGCTCTGGCCATGTACAAGCAAGTGTTGAAGAATGATCCTAAGAACATCTGGGCCGCCAATGGGATTGGATGTGTTTTGGCTCACAAGGTAATGTCGAGTACGAGTTGTTTGAAAACATCTATGAATAAAACTCTTTAAAGGGCAGAAGTTATATTTAATTTATACTAGCAATTTACCCTCGCTTTGCTGGGGTGAGTCCCTAGGTGTGTTTAAGATTTTTCTGCGGGACCCAATTCTTTTTCTAATATAAAAGTAGTCTAAGCTACTCCTTATAACATCAGCTATCTGCCAGTGAAAGTCCTGTCAAAATCGGTCCAGCCGTTTCGGAGATTAGCCGGAAGAAACAGACACTTAAAAATATTAAAAATTGCGTTTTTCTTATAAGTATTGTATTTCATATGCATTTAGTAAAAAGCTGCTATTTTGATATTACAAAAAGACAATTCAAATTTATTTATCTGTATAGAGTGTATATGTAGACTTAGAGTGAATATTTAAGATTTATTTTGATGATTAAATTAATCAAAAAATTAGATTTGAATTATTCGTAAAATATTTTATTCTTTTAAGTATTTAAAAGTGACAAGTAGTCACTTATGTACTTATAAATATTTAATAATAATGACTTTTTACTACAGTTTTTAGTAACAGTGTATTATTTACAATTATTTACAAAGAAGTTTGTATGGGACTTCACTTAATAGTGTAGAATGCTGGAGTTGCATTATAATGTTCTTAGATATTATTTGTAATATTGTTGATAGATATATAGATATATAGATTGTACTATAGAAAAATTATACATATATCTAATATATTATATGGATAAAAGATACTAGCTTTTTAGACAAAATTGTTTAAATTTTTCTGTTGTTATTTTTATTTCTATTTTTTTTTTATATATCTTTGTAAATCATGTATTACTGTTTTTATTTTAATAAAATTCTGTAAGTTAAAAATTTACTATCAGAATGTCCGTGGCTTGCGGACAAAAACACATAGCTTCTATACTCAAATTTGTTGTAACGATTACGATATTGTAATATTGGTTGAAACGTGGCTCAATGACAGTATTTTATCACGTGAGTTATTTGATGATAGGTATACGATATACAGAAGAGATCGAGAAAACTGTAATTTTTACAATAGAAAAGAGGGTGGGGGTGTTTTAATAGCTGTAAAAAATAAATTTAGATCGAAACGCATGCATTGTTGGGAAAGTAACTGTGAGGATATATGGGTGTCCCTGGATTTTCCTGAATCTAAATCTCAAAACCGATTAACTTTGTGTGCCGTATACCTACCACCACCAGTTAATCACAACATAGTGGAACACTGTTTAGATAAATGGAATTCTGTATGTGAAAATAACTCGAACAATGTCATAGTGGGTGATTTCAATTTGAGTTGTGTAAATTGGTCATTAATCAGGGAAAATAATGTTTGCTATATAGTTCCGAGTTTGGGTCAGCATTTGGTTGACTTTACTTATTTATATAAACTTAATCAAGCCAATGATGTTGTCAATGAAACAGGTAAAATCTTAGACTTAGTGTTAACAAATGTTGCTTGTGAAGTTTCCAAATCATTTAATGAACTAAGTAGTGTTGATCCTTACCATCCCCCGTTAGAAATAGTATTATCGTTGACAAAAGAAAGTAAGCTTGATTATAAGCGAAATCTTCTAAAGCCGAACTTCCACAGAGCTGATTATGATTCTATTAACAAATATTTGCAAGACCAGCAATGGGATGATATATTTAAGGAAGCTAAGGATGTAAATACTATGTTGGCGTGTTTTTATAATGTTTTGCAAGATACTATTCTTAAATTTGTGCCATTTACACTTAAACATAGGAAAAATAAGTTTCCGCCCTGGTTTAGTCGTAGTCTCATTAAGTCTCTTAAAGAGAAATATACTATAAGGTGGCGCTATAAGCTATATAATAATCCTATGGACGCTATAGCTTTAAAAATTGTCAGTGATCGTGTTAGTCGTCTTGCAAGGATGAATTATAATCACTATACTAATAATATCGAGCAAAGTATTATAAGAAATAGTAAGTTATTTTGGACATTTACTAAACAAAAAAGGGGTGGTCTGAGCTTATATCCAGCCAATATGACTGACGGAGTTACAGAAACGTCCGAAGGCGTCTCGATTTGCAACTTATTTGCAAAACAATTTTCCCTTGCCCTAAATTCCAACAAGCAAACTAATATCTCTGTAATTGAATCTTCTGCATATATAAGGCACCTTAATGATAACAGTATTTCTGTTACAGTTCCTACAATTACTAGTGAGGAAGTACTAAATATCTTAAAAGATATTGATCCCAATAAGGGTGCAGGGCCAGACGGTATATCTCCATATTTTATTGCATCTTGTGCTTCAACTCTAGCTGTACCATTATGTTCTATTTTTAATAAATCACTGGTCTCTGGCACTTTTCCGGATAAATGGAAATCAGCTATGGTGGTTCCTGTTCATAAAGCAGGTAGTACTAATCTGATCTGTAACTACAGACCTATCTCAATTTTGTCTACGTTAGCTAAGGTCTTTGAATGCGCTATATATCCTTTAATTCAGAAGCATATGAAAAATTATCTTTCCTCCGACCAACAGATCGTTCACGTTCCAGATCCACATGCACTAATCTGGTATCTTTTACTGAAACTATAGTCAATGCAATAGATAAAAATAAGGAAGTAGATGTCATATATACTGACTTTAGTAAGGCTTTTGATACTGTCCCACACGATATTCTTTTATGTAAATTACAAGCATATGGATTTACTGGATCTCTCCTTATCTGGCTGAAATCATATTTAGAGGCTCGCTCGTTCTTTGTTGCTGTTAATGGTTTTCAATCTGACGTACGTCAGATTACATCTGGTGTGCCTCAGGGCTCACATCTAGGTCCCGTATTGTTTAACATTTTTATTAACGACATATCCAATTGTTTTCTGGCATCTTCTGTGTTTATATATGCTGATGATTTAAAATTCGCAAAAACTATTGATTCCCCGAGTGATTGTAAGCTTCTTCAAGATGATTTAGAAAGACTTATGCAATGGTGTGAAATTAACGGTGTGAACTTAAATAAGGAAAAATGTTATCAAGTAAAATTTACTCGAAAATCAAGTTACGTTACGTATAAATACTATATAAAAGAATATGCTTTAGAGACGTTGGAAGTTATTAAGGATCTGGGGGTAACTTTCGATAAAAAAATGACTTTTCTTCCCCATATAGAAAATATAGTAAAACGTGCTTCTAAAATGCTCGGATTTGTTATACGTAACACTAAAATTTTTAAAAGTTTACAAATTAAAAAGCTCCTTTATTTTAGTTTGGTTAGGAGTATCTTGGAGTATGGTTCAGTTGTCTGGCGTCCTCACTACGCTACGCATATCCTAAGACTGGAACGTATTCAGAAACGATTTCTGTGGCATCTGGTTTTCAGTGCCGGTAAAGCCAAGAAAATTTCTTCTTACAAAGAAAGGTTGGCCTTCTTCCGAATGACTGCATTGTATGAACGCCGGGAACTTCTGGATATTTTGTTTACTCATAAATTACTGAACGGCTTTATTGATTGCCCCAAATTGCTAAATAAATTTAGCCTAAGAGTTCCAGTAAGAATACCACGTAAGCCTATTGCTCCACTTTGTCCTCCACTTCGCCGAACGATCCTAGGTGCCAATTCCCCAGTCCCACGGTTATGTAAGACTCTAAATTCTTATAGCATAGATGTCGACATATTTGCTGATTCCTTGGCCAATTTCCGCAAAACCATTAGCAACAAATTCTTAAATAAATGCATTGATAGTCTTAAATAATGTTATAATTGCTAAATTAATGTCACTGTGTATCTGCTCATTGATAAATAAAAAAAAAACTATTTACTTCTAAAATATATCTATTTTGTATAATATTTTAAGAAACTTTATTTTTGTGCATGCTGTGTTTATTTGTAAGTAATCACTACATTTAGTTCCTAATTTTTAGTTATATATTTTTTTTTTTATATTGTGTGTATTATTGTAAGTGATTGTAAATAAACCTAATAAATAAATAAATAAATAAATAAATATAAAAATCACGTGTCACGGTGTTTGAGATCACACATCGACCGATTTTAATGTTTTTTTTGTACATTTGATAGGTATGAGAATAAGTCGTATAGTATTTTTCACCTTCCTACCCCCCACCCGCACATTTTTTAATCGCGATTTTATTATTTTTGTATGAACAATATTATATAAACGCAATGAGTTGCTGTATAACATAATGCCAAAGACTTTTTTTTGTGGATTGAGGGTTTCGTTAGTTATTTTATATTTTTTTCACAGGGCTGTATAAACGAAGCACGTGACATATTCGCTCAAGTACGAGAGGCAACAGCAGACTTTCCAGATGTATGGATGAACATCGCACATATTTATGTGGAACAGAAGCAATACATCAATGCTATACAGATGGTAAGTGGAAACTTTAATGTAAAAAAATGTGGATGTATGCAAAAAATAAGTTGGGGTTAATTTTTCAAGCAAGTATGTAAGGTCCCGGGGGGAAGTCGGGTGTTATCCGTAATAGGATTTCCCAACTATAAAAAAAAATGTAATAGCGGTAAAGATAAAGAGTTATGATGTCATTTTTAATTAAAGGACTAGAAAATTTATTTTAATGAATATGGTTTCATCCTTTTTGAGAATTGCGCTTATCGATTTTTTTTGTGTATATAATATATAGTTTTACAAGCGACTCACCCTTGCTTCGCTCTGGTTCGTTCCTAGGTATGTTTTATCGATTAGTATGAAATACAAATTCTTGAGTTTCTGGGCTTTTCTGTACTATAATATGCATGTATTATACATATAAACCTTCCTCTTGAATCACTATCTATTAAAAACAAACCGCATCTGCAATCCGTTGTGTAGTTTTAAAGATGTAAGCATACATAGCGACAGACAGACGGCGGGAAGCGACTTTGTTTTATACTATGTAGTAAAGTGGTCCTATACAAATTTTAAAAAGAAAAACATGTACATATATCTAAGTGCGGTATATTTTATAAATGAATAATGAAGTGTAATGTGTAACGTCCAGTACGAGAACTGCATCCGCAAGTTCCGCATGCAGCACGACGTGGAGTGGCTGACGTGGCTGGCGCGCGCGCAGGCGCTGGCGGGGCGCGCGCGCGCGGCGCGGGCGTCGCTGCTGCGCGCGCGCGCGCGCGCCGCGTGGCGCCGCACGACGCGCCGCTGCTGCACAACGCCGCGCTGGCGCTGCGCCGCCTCGCCGCGCAGGTGCTCAAGGACGAGCGCGAGCAGCTCGCCGTCGTGCTGCGCGCCGTGCACGAGCTCCACGTCTCGCACAGGTACACACACAACCACACGCACACACGCACATTGAAATACGAATGGTGAACATTGATGTTTATCACCATTTTACATCTAATATATAAAAATCTCGTGTCACAGTGTTTGTAACAAAACTCCCCCGAAACGGCTTGACCGATCCTTATGAAATTTTGTGTGTATATTCAGTAAGTCTGAGAATAGGATGTAAACTATTTTTCATAGCCCTCCTAAGTGATAAAGGTTAGGTTAGTTCCCAAAAACATTTTTTTATTCTAATTTTTTTATGATTCGGCATTAAAAAATACATACAAACCTAAATTTTCACCCTTCTACAACCAACCCCTATTTGTTAATAGCGATATTAGTACTTACATTATTTTCTACTCTCAAAAATCTATACTAACCGTTAAAATGTAACTAGGAACGAATCCGAGCGGAGCGAGGGTGAACCGCTATTTTCATTATAATGTTATAATTTTTTTACATTTCATTTATGAATTTAAATTGGATTAAAGGACCGTTGGTCGCACAATCGCTTTTCCTCTTTCTAGAGAGTGGTTAATTTCTTAAGAGTATTGCTTAGTTCATTCTCTACGTCTATGGTTGAGGTACAAACAACACACATTGCATACCGGCTCGCCGGCGCTGCGAGCCTGGTACACGTGAGGCGCTGCATACACACAAATATTGACATAGATTTTTATTGGATTTATGATATGAGAGGGTGTAGTGGGCAAACACCTTAACTTCAAAAATAAAATCTCCCTCAGATACCTCCAACGGCTGTCGTCCGGCGGCGCGCCGAACACAGCTGACATAGATTAATGTTATATATTATTGGATCTATACGGTACATTCCATTACTTATATGACACAAAAAAAAATCTTCCAGATACTTCCAACGGCTGTCGTCCGGCGGCGCGGCGATCGCGACCGTCGCGGAGGCGGAGGGCGAGGCGGCGGGCGCGGGCGGCGTGGCGGGCGCGGGCGCGGGCGCGGCGGCGGGCGCGGGCGAGCGGCGCGGCGCGGAGGGCGCGGCGGCGGCGGCGGAGGCGCGCACGTGCGCGGACCTGCTGTCGCAGGCGCAGTGGCACGTGGCGCGCGCGCGCCGCCAGCACCAGGAGGAGCTCACGCTGCGCGACCGCCAGCGCGAGCAGCGCGAGGCCTTCCGCAGGCAGCAGGTATACTGGCATGTACCGAGGTCCTTCCTGGGTTCGACTCCCGGGTCGGCCCAACTTCGATTACTGAGGTTTCATTACAGACATTACTATCAACAAGAAACTCTTGAACAAAGTAATACGTTTTGTTTAATAAAATATTTTTTTATTTTATCTTAAAATGTTGAAAATGTAAATAGCACGTTATACTCGACACACTTGGCGAATGAGAGCTAGACGAAAAAAAGCGTTAATATTTCGACCGCCACAACACTAAAACTAAATAAAGAAATAAAAACAAGCCCTTGCCACATTTAAATAAATAAAATACAAACAATAATACTTTTTTAGATTTACGCACATATTTGACATTTTAAATAAAACTCTTTTCGGATTTTCTCGCGAATTTATTTTGATTTCGGGTTCGCGACGTTTCGAATGCTTTACACTGTCTCTTCCGTGACCATAATTGCTGCAAAGCATTCGAAAGGTCGGGTACCAAAAATCATAATAAATTCGCGAAAAAATCTGAAAATATAGTTTTATTTAAAAAAAAACAAATATATTGAACAAACCTGAACAGGAAGAAGAGCGCAAACGTCGCGAGGAGCAACAAGCGAAGAGTACAGTGGAGATGCTCCAGAAGCGGCAAGAGTACAAGGAGAAGACGAAGAACGCGCTGCTGTTCGCGGACATGCCCAGCGAGGGCAAGCCGCGCCGCGCGCGCCGCCGCGACGAGTACGTGTCCGACTCCGGCAGCGAGCCCGACCGCCGGGGGGACGAAGGGTAATTATATATTCAACCCCTTTTTAACGTCCCACTGCTGGGCACGGGCCTCCCATCAATGCGAGGGGGATCTGGCCATAGTCCACCACGCTGGCCAAGTGCGACCGGACTGAGCATGTCTTTCGAAAACTTGCTAGGTTCTCTCAGACATGCAGGCTTCCTCACGTTGTTTTTCTTTAATGTAAAACAAGATTCGAACATGAAAATATTAGAGGTGAGACCTGAGACTTGAACTCGCTTCTCGCTCGCTCGGTTTCCCAAGCGAACGGGTTAGCACTGCCTTTAAGGGTAATTATTTGCTGTTCAAGTTTCATTTTTGTAACAAAAAATATTTTATATTCTTCATTAAAAATCTTCATCGAAATTGGTTTAGCGGCTTAAGCAGGAAAACGTAACAGACGAATAGATAGATAGAGCTACTATCGCATTTATAATATTATAGTATGGACTTATTGAATAGCTAATACAATATAAATGTGTATATACAATAATATACTATATATGACACGTGCAGGGGGGAGGGTAAGCAGCGCAAGCGCAAGCGCGACGGCGAGCGGCGCAAGGGGCGCTCGCGCAAGCGCCGCGACGCGCGCTCCGCCAGCGACAGCGACGCGCCGCGCAAGCGCCCGCGCAAGAAGGTACAATATTGATTTGTCCATTCATCATTCACTCATTCATATATACATACGAACGTACATACAACAATTTAACAACTTATCGCCTTAAGCTGTAGTTTTAAATTAGATAAGAGAGTCCTGTGGAAGGTTAGACGTACGCGACACAGGGTATCCTAGTGCGTGCGTCTCAGCACTCCATTGCCCATGTTTTGTTATACAATAATTGTTATAAGATTAGGGAGTATATTTATATTCATTTTTGTTATTACGAAATAAATGAATAAATAAATAAATACATACATACGTAAGTTGGTATACCTTTAAAGTGAATTGTTATACTGTAAACCTATTTTCAAGATAATGGTAGCACATGAAATGTATTAACAGATACAGCGCTTTTACTTTTTACAGGTTCGTTACCACGGTTAAAAACTTTTACGGACACTGACATTTCTTTAAATAAATGTGAGATGAATATTTGCAATATTTAGCATATTTTAATTTGCAGACATTTATAAACAAACATAGTTTGAAAGTGTACGACTGTTGATCCGTCAATATCTATTATCCATTTTAGCAAACTAAAATAACCCGAAGAATGCCATGCAATTACTTTTTATCGAATGGGGCAACTGTACTAATATAGTATTATTATTATAGTGTTTGGTCATCTGTGATACTACATACAAAATTATTGTATATAGCATGGCATATTACGAAAGGTTCAACCTATTTCTTTTGTGATTTCGCATTTCCGAATTACAAATCAACAATTTATATATATATATATATATATATATATATATATACTAGCGACTCACCCTCGCTCCGCTCGGGTTCGTCCCTGGGGTGGGTTCTGGAAGGACCACCCTTATCCTTATCACTTAGGGGTATGAAAAATAGATAGTAGCCGATTCTCAGACCTACTGAATACGCATATAAAATTTGGTAAAAATCGGTAAAGCCGTTTCGGAGGAGTACGGTAACAAACATTGTGACATGGAAATTTTAAATATAGGATATATATATATATATATAAATCAAATTAAAACAATTGTTTTATTTTTTTCTATAAAGCTTCACTTAATGTTGTATTTTCATCTATTTACAGGGAGAAAAGGGGATCGGTCGTCGCGACAGAGCCAAAATGGCTGAAGAGAAACTTGGTGCGAAACAACGTGCGAAAATCGTTTCCAAGGAAACTATATCGACTTCTGAATCCGATTCCGATGCGGGTGATCGAAAGTCCCGCAGCCGGAGCCGAAGCGGCAGCCGCAGTAGGAACGGCAGTCGATCACCGACTACTACTAAAGGCAGGAAACGGATCATGTCGGCTTCGGATAGTGATAGGTGAGTTTGTTAAATAAATATCGATTATGATAGGAAAATAAAAACAAACCTATCCCACGAGAACCGTACATTTTTTCGGAATAAAAAGTAGCCTATGTGTTATTCCAGACCAATGTGCCAAATTTCACCCAGATCCGTTCAGCCTTTCTGGCGTGAAAGAGCAATAAACATCCATACATCCGTACTCACACACTTTCACATTTATAATATATCTATTATATAGTAATGATATAACGGGACTTAAGCGCGTGATTTCGTAAGTGGAAAGATACCTTCGCTTCGAAAGGGTTGCACCAGCCATGATAAGTGTTGGTACCTGCGAAAACATCTTTGATCGTAGTAGGCGATGGCTTACAACCCCATTCTGCTTTATGACCAACGTGGTTGTGGCAAAACACGCCACTTACAAAATCACGCGTTTAAGTCCCGTACTGTTATTATTATACAATTATGGGACGTGTAATTTTAAAAAGTTAAATATCGATTAATTTCGAATCGATTCCAATGTCGATGTATCGGAAATCGGATACATAATCGAATATTGTAGTAGAGAGGATCGCTTTATAATTTACACTCTTTAAGATCTGATCCAGGTCGGAGTTTTTTCGGAAAAGTTATAAAAGTTGCTTTTTTTTTAGTTTAGGAATTATAACGTTTTTTAAACTTATAAAGAAAAACTTTATCTAAATACAAGATTTGATCCAAGTCATTAGAGCCGTTTCCAAGATGCACGAAATAAATTTATATATACACAAGAATTGCTTATTTAATATTATAAATATTTTTTTTATACATGTAAGGTCCAAGAGCCGTTCGAAATCACGAAGTAGATCGCGTTCTGGATCGGCTAAGAACCGCTCTAGATCTAAAAGCCGTTCAAGGTCCAAAAGCCGTTCAAGATCTAAAAGCCGTTCAAGATCCAAAAGTCGTTCAAGATCGAAAAGCCGCTCGAGATCAAAGAGCCGATCCAAATCAAAAAGCAAATCCCGTTCAAAAAGCCGATCACAATCGAAGAGCCGATCTCGCTCTAAAAGCCGATCTCGATCCAAAAGCCGTTCTAGATCTAAAAGTGGATCTAGGTCCAAGAGTCCATCGAGATCACGCTCCAGGTAACAATGTTTTTTTTATTTATATTATATATTTCTTTATATATTGCTATTTCTATTAAATATGTTCATATGATTTTTTTTCGATGATTAAGTAGTTTTACTTACATTATATAACTTTCATTCAAATCAATTTCATTTCCAATAATGTACACTAAAATGCTCACTGGTATGGTGTTAACATAAACATAAAAATTAACATAAAAATGTTTTTTTTGCTAATTTATATAGCTTAACATTTTATATCCATAAGTAGGTATATTCATATAATTTAATATATTTTTTGTAATTTACAGATCAAAGAGCCGTTCCCGTTCAAAGTCCAAAAGTCGATCTAGGTCTAAGAGCGGGTCTCGTTCCCGCTCCGGGTCTCGCTCCCGGTCTGGGTCTAGGTCACGCTCCGGCTCGCGCAACTCCAGACCCGCCACGCCTGAGTCTAGGAAGTCTGTGTCGGCTAGTGAGGACGAAGCTTAGATATTGTATATAGATCTAAAGAATGATCTAGATGTAATGTGTAGATTTTAGGTGAAGCCTTTAATGGTAATATATTATGTTAATAATAACATCCGCCATTTTTTTCTCTATAGTCTTCTTCCTGAATTAAAAAAGAAATGTGCAAATATTAATAATATAATGTTTAATTTTATTGTTTGTCTTAAAATACAATGGGCATCGCAATCATTGAATTCTGTTTGGTTTCACCTTTTTGTTCTATACATTCTATGTTATTTTTTGTCTTGAGTGTATAGTAAGTATAATACGCGCCATACAAGTTGAACGTTGCGATTTAGCAATTATTATCTTTTATATACAAATAAATTAATATTTGTATTGTAACTATATTATATGTATTGTTTTTATTTTATTCATATAATTTTAACGTATTTTGTTTTGAGTTTTGACCCGATAATCGTTTAATATTAATACGCGACCAGTGGATGTCTTAGAACTGATAACATCAACGTTGTCCGCCATTTCTTGATATAGTGACATTTAATGAAATATTTGACTATTTGTGGCCATGTTATATATTTGAGGAATAATGAAATATTGTATCACCGAGCTTCAACGTAACGTACTACATCTCTATAAATAGGAAGGAGTGTTCTGGGCAAACTACCTTCGCTCGGCTTTTAAGTTATTTCATTCTCACGGGAAAACATGTTATAGTTACTCACTATAATCATACCTATTTATATCGCGCTAAAACTATAAAAAAACTTTAAAATGGTGGGTTTCATACAAACTTTCTTCCCCTATTTTATCCCCTTATGGGATGAATTCCGAAAAATGCTAAAACACGTATTTATTTAATTGTATTGAAGAGGATCAATACCAAGTTTCAAGTAATTCTGATCATAAATATTTTTTTGGGTTATTATAATGTGTTTTCCCGTGGGAATGAGATAATCTCCCGCGGTAAAAAATCCCGCGGAATAAAGTAGCCTATATCACTCTCCAGCCCTCCAACTATCCCCACACAAAAAATCACGCCAATCCGTCACTCCGTTTCGACGTGAAAAAAGGACTAACAAACAAACACACTTTCACATTTATAATATTTAGTATGGATAACATTATTATAGTCTATCTATTCCTTATTACGCATTAAAACGTACCGAGTCGCTAGTTTTTTAATAAATGTCATTATTTTATGAAATGGTCAAATAATTTACGATCTTATTAATTCTACGACTTGTGCGACAGGTGTAAGTCCCAATGACAATTTTATTTTAAGCGGGTTCTATGTGTATGGTGCGTGCTATACTCTTAGAAGTCCAGATTATATTGTTACCTGCAAGGTATTTGAAATAAAAATATTGTTTTTGCAAACGTGAAACTTAAATTCTTTATCATGTTTTACTCATAAAGTACATAACACTTTCTTAGATTTTCACGAATATTTGATATTTTAAATAAAACTATGCTAATGCTGCAAAGCATTCGAAACGTCGGAATTCTGAAAGATAGTTTTATTTAAAATGTCTTAAGGTCAATATATATTTTTTATTTTCCCATATAATATCTTTAAAAGACCTGCTTTTTACTATTTTATAAAAAAGTATTCTCAACTCAAGTATCAGAATTGTTTTCTTTTTTCTTAATAGTTAGGTTTCACATTTATGACGATTGTATTTTTAAGTGTATAATGATTAAATATATAATTCATTTGACATATGCTTTTCTACTTTTTTTATTTCCCCTTCATTTAATTTTAATAAAATCTTTAACCAAAATCACAGATCACATAATACTATAGATGCCTCATCCCATACAAAGAAATTGGACAGCGCTAATTCGGGCCATTTTTGTTTTCTTGAATATATAATAGATGTCGTTGTTTCGCAAATAGTTAAAGTGTTTGATTATATAAATATCTCCAAACTAACGTATGTAAAATTCATCCTGCATTCGAATTAAAAAATCTGTGATTTTAACAATTTTTAACCTTGATCAACATAAAAAGTAAAACCACTATCTGTGAATATACACTGCAAACCCATTATCGGATATTAGTTGGAACATAATTTTCATAAGGACACAGCACCATCTAGTTCCATGGTACGCTACGAGGCCTGTGTTATGGATACCGGATAGTTGACACACTACACATATATAACTATTAAATACATATTATCAATATAAACACCCATGACTGAAGTACATACATTCGTGCTCATCAGGCAAACGAATGTCCCCAGCAGGACCCGAAGCCGCGACCGCTGGCACAGCAAGTAGAATCACTACAAACTGAGCCAAACGAACGAACTGAATAAGATTCATAGAGCTTAAATAAAACAAGTTAATCTCAAAAACATTGTATATTTCATGACCTATAGATATATAATGAGAAAGTTCCTGAGACATGCAGCTTATATTCGTTTAAAATCTGAAATACCACCACAGTTAGATGACAATTTCCTTATAAAGTATACACAATAAAAAAACATACAAACGAACATAGAAGCTCCTCCATTTAAGAAGTCGGATAAAATAAACATCACAACAAAAAAAAACTTTCGAGGTACATATTGTAATAAAAATCTCGACTTAACATAATCACAAAAATAATAGATTTTACTAACATTTAAACTTGTGCATACATAATTATTTTTGAAGTTTCTATATTGGTCCATATGTTTGTTTACTGACAATCTGTTTAATTTACTTCTTGGACTTAATTGAACAATAAATTTATTATAATAAACTAGCATTGCCCGCGGCTCCGCCCGCGTTCAGATGACCAAAAACCAAATTCTTAGGTTTTACATATTAGTATACTCTTACATTACTGTTTTTGTATTTTTTCTCAGAATGAGATATTTTCCCGCGGTAAAAAGTATCCTATATGTTGACTCGGATAACAAGCTATCACCATACCAAATTTCATCAAAATCCCTCCAGTGGTTTTTTCGTGATGCGGTAACAGACAGACAAAAATTCTAAATTATAGATTCGGCCTCTGTAAGATTTTCAAAAAAATATTTAATGTACATATTCGGCTTAGCTACAATTTTATTATATGTATATAATAAGCAAAATGAGATATACCTCCTTATTTATTCTCATTAAACAAATAATTAAAGAAGTTTGTTTTCAAAATATTAAAATAATAAAATAAACTTAACAAATGGTCTAAATACGAGTGATATTTCAGATTCATCATTATTCTATGGATACCTCGTAATGTTCCACGTGTACAACACTATTTGTATATAAGTTATATACCATACATTTACTTCCCTACAAGCATTAACACAACCATACGCGTCTGGAAGAACAAACATGCACAATCTTCTAGAATATACGATCAAATCCCTTTTCCATTACAAATTAGTGTTGTCTAATGGACTAGATATTAAAATTGCATTTTAAAATCTTACTCTTAGTAATTGAGCGTTATACGTGTTAGAATAGAACTATTCTACACTACAATGTCTTTCTGTTTGTCTGTTTTGTTCATAACGCCTGAATAAAATCTAATTTACATGAAACATAAGAAATCATTTATTAACAAACATATGGACAAAGCCATTTTTATAATAATAAATTATTAAAAAAAAATAACAAGTACCTACAACATTATAATAATCTTTTCAATATTAAACAAATCACAGCATGAAATAGTTAATGTTTTCTTAAACTAATCGTGTTGAATTATATGAATAATAGGGACTTATTATTTGGTGTTATTGGTTTGAGTAATAACAAAATACAGTGTATTTTAAGTAATATTAATATATATGTATATAGTCTAGTTTCGAACAGTCATCTAACAATAAACATGGATGTGCCTTGTAAAATTTTAAATGTTGTTAAAAATTATAAATGGGCTTACGTAAAGCTCGTTTAATAATGACGACGTTTTACACACAAAATATACCTAAATATAATTTAGAAGTTTAATAAAATGAATAATAATTCATTATTTTATGTATTTATTTATTAACTATATTTATTTTAAGCTATTTGATATTCCATTTATTTTATTGAATATAAAAAAAATATGGCCAAGGCGTATCCATGATTAAGACAACTTATCGTAAGTTAGGAATATCTCTGACAGGTACATTAAAAGAGTATATCAATTATCAACAATTTAACTTAGAAAAACCACAGCTAAATTTTTCTTCTACCAATCTACGTATAGAGTATAAAATCTCAAGTGCTAAATGAAAATAAAGATTGCCAAACCTCTTACTAAATTAAAGGCTTTACATTGCCTTGCTGTATGACGACATAAACTTTGTACATATATTTAATATAAAACTGCAGTGCAAATTTAAAAAATATTTCAAATACCTGAGAATTACCTACTTTTAATATTATTCATTATATATTATGTATCTAAATAGAAACTACGTTAAAATTCCATACAAACGTTACTAAGACTAATCGATTAAAATTGATTCGAAATTCGAATATATGGCAGTATTTGTTTTCACTTGTTAGTTGTTCGAGTCATTGTCCTGTTAGTCCAAGTCCAAGATCCGAAGTACTTACCCGACATCATTCCATAACTTATGTGCTAAATACTTGTTTATGTATTATATTTAATATAAAATACTTACTTCTTTTACTTTACTGATTCGGTAAGCAGATGGGTGATGGGCAACTTTACTTCGGATCTTGTACTATTCTAAAGAAATTAAGAATATAGCTATTTTAATTACTCGTACTGTGCGCTAATTCAAATATGGATAAAATTACTAAAACTACGTTATAAAGGTATTGTGTGAAAACCTTTACCTATAATTTAAAGAAGGTCAACTAAACAATTTTGATAAAATTAACATATTTTTGATATTAACCTAGAAAGAATTTTATCCGTAATAGTATTATATATAATGACGGATTTAATAAGTTTCCGGATATTACATAACAATAATTGCACCAAGTTATGCAAAAAACAGCCATGTGCGTAAAAGTACCAACAGAGTTATAAGCATTTTTCTGTCGATAGTTGCACTTGGGTTATGTTTTGTTTTTCTGGTTATTTTAAAATTGAACAATATTTATATAAGTATTGTTTATTTTTTATAATAAAATGCTTATAACTCTGTTGGTACTTTTACGCACATGGCTGTTTTTTGCATAACTGGGTCCAATTACATTTTCACTAAAAAGTACAATGACCTCAAGATCACAAAACAAAAAATCCAGCCTTAGAGGTGAAATGTCTTCTTGAGGTATATATGGGAACATCCTTGTAGTAACAAATTAATTATAAAACGAATCATTAACATTTATATTTTAATAATATAGGCCGGGATTGAAGTCAGTCCTCAAATTTTTGAAGTTAGTCAAAAATATATGAAGTCTAGTTGGGCGTATCATATCATAATAAGATTATATTCTACACTAGAGATCACAGGTTTGAATCCCATAGCGCGGAAATATTTGCTATATCTACCTACGCCGCAAGAGAGAGATAGAGAGTATGGAGACATCAAACTAAGATGTTCACGCCTAGAGAAGTGTTAATACCGATATTTCTTAGGATTAGTTAATATTAATATATTCATCCGGCAATATTATAATAGTGTAACTAATACTTAAATAATACTTCATTATTCAATAATAGTGATATTTATCTCAGGTGTGTCACTCTCTACTGTATTCCTGATCAATATCACTTCCAGTAGGTTTGTAACTAAGTATTTAATATTGGAACAAAATAGTATAGTAATATGATATGTGATATTCGGAATGAGTCTTATTTGTCATCCATGGTATTAAATGAATGTGTAGATACAATATGATCGTAGTAGCAAGTAATAAGATCATTTATTGCTTGACGTTCCTTTCACGAATCCGAGAATTCTTACTGACAATGAATCCGAACGATATTATCCGACTTATTTTGAATAGTTATTACATTAAGTGAATATGAAATATTAGCATATCTGAGTTTGTCAGATTACTAATACACAGATCCTTCAATATTACTAATATCTTAGCGCATACTAATATATCAGTCACATCACTATAATCACGCCATTAAATACGATGCAGGATAGACCGATCTACACAGAAATGGAAATGGAAAAATACACATCCACTACGTTCATATTTTCAATATTTGGACTAGAATATTTACGCATATATATATATGTAACCCAATTAACTATAAACGAATCAAATCTAGCACTAGTAAAACTAGAAAAACGCTTGAGCTAAATTGTTATTTTGAACTAATCAAAAATAATATTTCTAACAAATTTACACAACATTTTTCTATTCAATAGACAGACAATACTAAATCCTTCAATTCATTTTATAATTCCTTATGTTAAAATATTTATAATATCATCTTATTAGGCTGAATACATACATACATCTAGCGATCTATTGCCGAAGACTTTATCGATTTATTTCAAAAAGTATATATGAGTTAAAACACTACATAATATGAACTACTAAGCGTAAACTGCAAATAAATATCATTTAAGTTTAAACTATCGATTAAAATTCAATAATTACTATAAAAATGTGTTAATTTCAAAATACGACATTAAATATGTAAGGCGGTAAATGGCTGTTATAATATTGGTCCTAACTTAATACCTGAATTTTATTTTATTAATATTTTTATCGTTCCCAATTCCTTTACTTTATTATAAACATATTCGAAGCGTTGTAATTAATAAATACATTTTTACTGCTACATCGCATAAAGAAGGTAATCAAATATGGCAACTATTTATCTCGCCAAAGAAATTCACTTAAATTATTCAGTATTAACTTAAGTACAAACAGAATTATTAAAAAAGTAAAAAAAAAAACATTATTATATTTTTTATATATTTTATAAAATATAAACATTTATTTTTAATCTTTATAGTGAATTTCAATCATATGATATTATGTATACCGAATAGATAGAAAAAGTAAAATAAAGTTGCCATATTCAAAAACTCTTTAAGTTTCAATTTTAAAATATAGTAAAATAATTATTATATTTTGTTTAAACAATGCTAATACTCTCTGAAAAAAATGAGAGCCATAAGCTAATAATATAGGATTTATATTAAATATTGCTCTATTTAAGTAGCTTTTGAATATAAACCATAAACGGTATAACATTTTTCCTATGTATAGTAAAAGTTTTACTGCATATGATAATAATATTTGACTAGACTGACAGAGATTCATCCATTAAAAATAATATCTTAGACGCGATTAGATTCTCTTGTATTGGTCCAAAAATAATATTCTTTTTAAATATTTTGTTTAAATAAGCATTATTTATAAAAAAATGCATAAAATATCTTCAAATATGTGGCAGGCATTTGTAGTATTTGTTGCCAAAATTCATTAGAAGTCATGCTCAAGTTCATTAAAAATTAAACTTTTGTATACAATACAAGCAAAATAAATATATTTTGTAAAACAATAATATAATATTTTTTTATAATAACATTAATTTTTAAAACATATAAATTATTATTTTTGTTATCTAACAGTTCTTAGTAACATTTGGTATACTGACCTTAACCTTTAACTTATTAACAAGTGATAAAAAAATGTTAATTCTCGTTTGGTTCTTTACTTTCACCATTTATACCATTAGCGTGACCAAATGTAACAGTTCCATTCGGCATACTTGCTACAGTAGTATGAGGACCTCCGAGAAAAGATGTAAATGTGGTATCTCTACTTATAGGGGGTTCCAGTCCTTCAGATAATGGAATACAGTCTAATGTTGGTACTGTATATTCCCTGAAAATAAAATTTTAGAATAATTATTAAAAAAAACAAAGTTTATAAACAACCACACATAAACAGCAGTTAAACTAATAAAAATATGTGTCACATATAGCAAATTGTTAAACCTAAGCAAATTCTGTAACTAGAATAAACAACTCAAAAATATAGATAGCGCCATCTATCTATACCTAGTAAAAGCTTGTATGCAATACAAACTTATTACCAAATTTTGCTATCATAGGTATCATTTTTTTTAAATATCAAAATATCTGTTCTTTTGAAGAACATCCTTAGCATTGTGCCCAATAGGGTGCCCAAGGGGTCCTTTTTTCCTTGATTAATTTAATTTTATACCAAATCCACACAATATATTATGCAATATATTGATATACTATTTTTTCTTTATTCCTGACAAGATTTGCCTGCCTAAGTAGCTTTTCGCTAAATACACACAATATGTGAACTAGTGACTGGATAAACTATCTCCATATCTGGTTAGAGCTTTTATCACAATTGAAGTGTTTCGACTAATATATACATAATGATATGAATATTAAAAAGAGAAACTGTTTTTTGACTTAAAAAAATCCTGGATCTGTTATCGCATGGTTGCTTTTTTATTCAGTTTTTTTTTATAATATTAATTAGCAAATTTTCTCTTATACTAATACTTACATAGAAACATTATCCTGCGACTGCATAGAGTCGTTTATGAGTTGCGGCAGTACAGGCAGAGGTGGTGGACTTGTCGGTCGTGATGTGAACAGGAACACCCCTATCATAGCCAGGAGGTACGATAGGAAATATAATGCATGGAACTAAAAGGATATAAAATAGTGATCATTTAAAAGTTTTGTAGGACTGTAAAAATATATATATTTTATAAGAAAATAATTATTATCTCACCTTAAATTGAAATATGTACATCCCAGCAATAACAGTATAATAATCAGCTGATAAGAAAGACAAATGCAGTATAATAGCACCCGCATCCCTCAGCATGAAGCTTTGCAGTATTTGAAACACTGTTTGAACCCCACAGTAACTGCCTAACTGAACTATTGTTCCTATTTCATACCAAGCAAAACTCATGAGTTCACTGAACTCAAGAAAAAATGTTTGTGAACATGAAAGCACACTGCCAATAAAACCTAGCAATGCGAGATATTCTGCACATGAATGAGTTTTGAGCATTATTTCTTGTAACACTGTAACCATAGCATACAAAAGGGATCCTCCAAGGCATAGCATGTCCCCAACTAATTGGTTTTTTCCTGTAAGAATTATTATTTTTTAAAGTAATATTAAGTTAATTAAATTAAGTATAAAACATTCAGTATAAACCATTACCATCAGTAGGGGCTCCCTCGACATCAGCCCAAACTACGCATACAACTGCCATGAGACCTAATGTAGCTCCTGCTACATGTGCCACTCCAAGCCTTTGCCCTCTCCATGCACCACCCACTAATGCAGCCCCAACCCCGCTACATGCTAACAACTGTCAGCTCAGTACTGATGTGAAACGCTGTGATAATACTAACAGCCAATTTGCTTCCACATCTAATACACATGCTATAAGGACTAGCCACCATTTCCTATAAAGTAAGTTAAATATTTTAGTTAGTTAAAAAATGTAAATAACCAATGATATGTAATTTAAAAACATCCCTGATGTTAGTATTTACAAAATTAAAGGCAAATTTTAAACCAATTCCAAATATTGTTACAGATTTTTTAATATTGCAAAATAATTAAAGTTCATACAAAGGCAGTGACATAATACACTTACTGTAATATTTTCTTAGGTCCAGTACATAACAGAGAGGGTGTAAATAAAATAAATAGAACGATATAAGGAATAACGAGCTGGCCAGTGGTGGGAAATTGCCAGGTCGCACTTTGCAAGATTGTAGTAATAATACATTTACTACTGAGCAACAGAGACAAAATTTGACCTAAAATGATGCCTCGCCATATTTTCCTGGAATAGGAAGATAATCACTTAGGTGCATAGAAATTTTCATACATAATACGTAAATAAGTGCTACAAACCATCGACCCAATTCCGAAAAATAATTCTCCAATTTTTCACTAATATTAACATTTTCCATGCTTATTATATGTTTGTATTGTAATTTTACGTAAGAAGCACTCTAGAAAATATAAAATTTCTAATATGAGTACATAAACTATACCAAATTTTCATATTTTACAAATTGGGCTAGGGCTAGCTCAAAAGCAAAACAATTATTTGACAGATACTTTAGTTTAGAAATAGATCTTGAAAACTCATATCCAAGCATATGTGAAAACATTAAATAGGAATAATTATTTTCTTATAAAAAATAACATAGTGTATAACAAATCCTTAATTCATGTTAAAATATATATATTATGAAGAATCGAAGATATATACATTGCAATACAGAATATATTATATAATTGGCAAATTTCATTTGACACTGACAGTGACGTTTATCTTTTTATAATCTGTTCTGTGAATCTGTTTCTGTGGTAAACTTGACTGAAGAGCTTGTTGTTTACACTTACAGTTTATTTTTGTTTTGCATAATTTGTAAGATAAATTAAAATAATTATTACATAGTCACTAGTCAGATAAGCTATTAAACGTAATATTAAAAAGAAAAAGCTTTATTAAAGCTCAGATATAAAACTATTAATAAAATGGGCGACGGTGCGTAGCTGTAAACCGATTTATTTTTGTAACCTTAAATAAAATAAGCGCTAACTTAATTTTTATTACAGAGGACGTTATAAGACGAAGACTTTTAATTGACGGTGATGGCACTGGAGATGATAGAAGACTCAATGTTTTATTAAAAACATTGATAAAATGGTGCAATTCTTCGGACGAGAAACCAGAAGAGAGGTTATATATTATAGATATAGTAGTCTATTTCTAGTTATAATATAGGTTATAGATAAATAATATATACATACCATTACACATTACATTTACATAAAGGCCAAAGAAAAACCGGGTGTTATTTATTTTATAAAATCAACTGCTAAATAATCAAATGAACCTTTAAATGTAGAATCTATACAGAAGCAAGAAGAAAATGAATTAATAATAATCTATAATAATCATAATTTTATTCAAATACATTTACAAATTTTAATATTACTTAATCTTATTTATTATTAAAATATTTTCGGAAAACATATATTAGATAATTCTATCAAAATTATTGTTAACCTGTCACGACTGCCGAGCCACAGGTGGCTTAACCGCAAGGTATTAATAAATAAATTAATTACATGGTTTAAATCAAATTAACAAAGATAGGTATAAGATAAAAAATGTTACAATCAGTGTAAGATCTGTAAAATATCATGTTTTAAGGTAGGTTTTTCTTTCTTTCAAAACTTGTCAAAACATTTTTTTTCTTTCATTACATGTGAAGAAAATAGAGTGTGACTGACATACAAACAGATTAGTTGCTTTTTGAATAGTAGGTTTTCAAATAATAAGTAATATTAAAATTGATTAAAAAAAACCTTATTAAAAAAAAGTAAGTACTACTGCCCAGTACTTGAATATTAATTAAAATTATATATTTTCTTACAAATGCTAATAGATTTCACCAGTGATACTCAAAATGTACAGTCAGTCAAAAATAGACTCAATAAAATAATAATATAAATGTTAAGTAGATACATTTATATTTTTTTGGTAGGTATAACTCGCGTCATCTAAAAAGAATGCTGGCTGTCAAGCTGCGCAGAAGCGATTTATCGGTCAAATTGGTGGTAAGAAGCGGGGCGGCGGGGCACGCCCCGCATGCTTCCCGGCGCGGTATTGGTTCGTCAGTTCGAAATACCATCGCGCACACAAGTTTTTAATTACGAAATGGTTTTATATATAGAAAAGAGAAAAATTGTTTTTGACGTATATTGTTTTACAAAGAGAGATAATGCAGTTAATAATAAAAAAAATGTATTAAACGTATTAATTTAATTTTTTGTATGTAGATTACACATTCTGCACTGAATCAAACATATTTTGATAATGAATAAAATTCTATATAATGATATTCTATCTAATATATTTTTCAATGTCCCTACCAATAACTAATATATGAAGCCGCGAGCGAAATGCTATGAAAAATAAAATAATAGACTTAGTACTTTTGTGCGCGAGTATACCCATGCGCCAACATACCCTCTCCACTTTCTTCCAGCGTTCTTTTTAGATGACGCGAGTTACACCATTTATAACAAATATAGTAACTCAGCATCTTTCCTTTTTTTGTGGTGTCTGTCACTCTGTGTCTTCTTTCTTAGTTCCATATTGTATCAGCATCAGGCTGCAAATCCCACATTCCTATTACTTATTTTTTATTTGTTATTCTAGTTGTAAAAAATAATAATTTCTGACTAAATAAAGATTTTTAAGCTGTACCTCCCTGCTATGTCATTTGTTTTACAATTTTCATTTCTACACTATATAAATGCATTTATTGATTATATGCAGTTTGTCCCATGAATCATCTCTTAACACCTCCAGGTAAATTTTAAGAAATTAATTAAAATTCTAAGAAATCATTGTTAACTGACACGCCGGCGTGTCCGTGGTCGTGGAGGGATTATACTAGATTAATAACCAACACTTTTCATTCATGCTTGCATGATAATTGCTGGGGATAGTTTAATATTTAATTAATTTCTTAGAAATTTACGTGGAGGTGAATGTCATTATATTATACAATTCTTGTTGCAAGGGAAATAGCACTAAGCAAAATATGTGCATAAACTTAAAATATTAATATTATTATATATTGAACTATTAAATTTATTGTTGCAGTAAAACAACACATGACAGAATGTTAGCACAACTGGCACAATGTGAATTTGCAGTTACAAAGTCTCAGTTAGGTTCAGAAATGATGGCAGCTGAACTTAAAAGCTATGAAGCATTATCAAAAATATTAGAAAATGGTATAGAAGTGGCTAAAGGGAACATTGAAAAGAGCAAAGCCGATTTAGCTCAAGCAAAAACAGTTCGGAAAAATCGAATTGAATATGATGTACTTGCAAAAGTGATCAGCGAACAGCCAGATAGAAAGGAAACTTTGGAGCGTCTTGGCACTTTGAAAACTGAATTAAGTAATTTAGAAGCGACTAAACAACAATTAGAAAGCCGATTGTCATTAAGAAAAAAACAATTCCATGTGTTAGTGACATCAATACACCAATTGCAAGCATTATTGGATGAGCCTGATGATGTAGATTTGATATCTGATGATGTTGAAATGAAAAACGTAGATTAATAAGAATATTCGTGTATTTTTAATAATAAAGATAATTTGCATGACGTGAAAGTTGTTTTGTAGCCCATTTTACCTTTGACTATACATCGACGGGTTAATTAGATATTTTTTTTTTTTCAAAAACAATCATTAAATTGGGTCTCCTGCAAAGCTAAGAAAATGTCGCTTAAACCAAATAGCCATTCACGGTTTTTTTTTTTTCAAAAAAAAATAATTAAATTGGCTCTCCTGTAAAGTTAAGAAAATGTCGCTTAAACCAAATAGCCTTTCAACCGTCGATATATTGCTGCTTTGTATATTTTTTTTGTTACGATTAAAAGAACAGGTATATTTCGACTTATGTACGATGTCTAAACTCGCTCGATTGCTGATAAGTCACGTGTTAAATTCTAAGTCCTAAGGCTTAAGTTTTATACAATGTTCATATATTGGGTTACAATAGGTAATATAGACTCCCACTTCGGTAGGCAGTATACCATGCGGGTTGCTCCTGGTACTTTTCTGTTGTCGGGGCGTCGTGATTGAGTGCGTAAGCGATCCTGCGACGCCCCATTTAGACTGGGGAGGTTCTATTCGATTTTTGTGGGTAGTACTGGCTTTTCTAGCCAGTTTCACATAATCATCTATATGTATACAGCTGGTATGCGTAAATACATTTCGGAACATAAAAATGGTAGGTTGGGTTAATGGCTTTACTGGTGAATCCCACATAACCACCTGTATGTATATAAATGGTATGCAGTGCATTTCCCAACGTTAAAAAAGGGTAACGTAGACTAAAGTAGTTATTATCTAAAGAAATTTAAATTCATGTGACATAGGGACGCTCAGTCCCGGTATTATTCAATTTGCGTCTACTATTTCTATCACTCAGTAATATTGTTCTTCTCAAGCCTATATAATTAGATTATATAATATTATTTTATGAGCCTATAGAATCAGAAAAGACAATGGAATTTGAGAAGCTAAGAAAAGCAGGAGCATTTCTTAGCTCCTTAAATTTCATGGACTCATCGCATTGCAGATGTGAAACATGTCCAGAATCCAGGCAGTACCCAGGACTTTAATTTCAGGTTAGGGATACTAAAATAATGTCATTAGGTAAAATTATGTATACCTATTGGGTAAAATGGCTGCATAATCATTATAGTAAGAAAAGCTCTCAACAGCTTAAGTCTAGGGCTGTATTTGCATTACGGCTTAAGTAAGGAACGCAGTTTCTCCGAAACTATTTAAAAATTCATTAAAGGACGTTTTTCAGACATTGGATTAAAACGACTACGTGGTATTAATATCAATGGCCTTTACAACATACATCTACAATTTGCCGTCATCTATGTCATCATGCTCGAAACTCTCCAAGACTTCTGTGTTCAAAAAGATGCTGATCATGCAAAGCTTCAAGGCAGGTGGGTTTGAAATCAATATTTATAAGATCAAAGTCATGACAAATATAATAATATGAAAAACATACACGGGCGAATCTGCATGGAGCTGCTAGTTGCATTGATTGTATTAATAGGTATCTAAGGCTCAATTTTTTTTATACGTTGGGACATTAACACACAGCAACATCTAGGTCCATGGTAAGCTACGAGGCTTGTGTTATGGATACCAGATAGTTGATATACCTACATATTATAAATATAAACACCCAGGACTGGAGTACAGACATTCGTTCTCATCACACAAATGAATGCCCCCAGCGGGACTCGAACTGGCGACCGATGACACAGCAAATAGTGTCACTACAAACTGAACCAAACGTGTCGTCAAATTTTGAACATCAAACGTGTTTAAGCGACAGCATAATGGACAAGAATAATGTTTAAGGTCGTAAAGTATTTTGTGTGCTCTGTTTATTCTTGTGCATTATTAAAACATTCGTGATAAACGCTTCTACTGTGTTCGTGCAACTTCAACGTTAAGGGGCTAAGCTTTTGTTTAAACCCCGTGGGAGACTTTTAATTGCTGAGCTAACTTAATTTTTATTAGGTTCAAAATTTGTGATATTACCTAACTTTAACAACATGCTTATCTCGGACCAACATTGTTTTCAAAATTTAATAACTAAAAAGGTGGTTTAGTATATAAATATATAATATACTACTTATAAGATTAATAATATGTGATTATAACTAAAGGGCAATAACCAAACTTGATAAAAAAAATTTACACGAGCAAAGATGCAACTACTAGTTTATATTAAAAGTGAAAGTTTATTCACGTATGGTTAAACAAAAAAAATCGAAAACAAGTGAGCAAGTTATCTAGTTTATAAATTTGTCACAAAGATAGATTATTGTCTGGAATAACATATAGGCTACTTTTTATCCCAGAAAAATCTACGATTCCCAAGAGATAGATTTGTTTTTGTTTTTCTAGAGGCGAACCCAAGCGAAGCAAGTGTTAGCCTCTAGTATAGACATAAACAGATAGAGAAAAAAGTACAAAATAGTATTCAGACAGACTTAAGTAATATGTACGAGTGTACACAAGTACAATTCTCGCCCTCTGTTTAACTTAGTTGCAGCCATAGAGTAACTCTTGTTGCAGCGTTCAATATCGTTACGTTTCTCGCGTCAGCAAGAGCCAGTCCAAATGGCATATAAAACCTACATTTTATTTTATTTGTCGCATAAGAACTCTCCACGGACTAACAAAACGGACGCTATGAAGTTAGCTATTTAATATTACTGGCGAACGGTTCAAGGCTTCTGTCTGTGTTTTTGGCTTACAAATATTTAGGTATACTTTGTACATAACTGGAATTATTCATATTACAAGTCCAGTTTTCTAGGCTGAATTTTAGCGAGTTATGTTTGTCATTCCATTAACCGATAAAAGAATGGTATTTTTTTTTATTTTAAGACACAGCTTAGGAAAAATTATGCGTTTTTATTTTTTATAAATAAAAAATATCCGTTGCTTATTCTTATTTACAAACTAGCGACTCATTGTCATCCCTAGGTAATTTTATTTTTTTGAGCGAAACCCTATTTTTTTATTGAAATAAAAGTAGCATAAGTTACTCCTTATAACATCATCACCTGCCATTGAAAGTCCCGTCAAAATCGGCCCAGCCGTTTCGCAGATTAGCCAGAACAAACAGAAAAACAAAAATTTTAAAAATTGTGTTTTTCTTATAAATACCATATGTATATTTTTCTAATAAATATAATATCTCATTTCTGAGAAAAAATACAAAAACTGCAATGTAAGAGTATACTAATATAAAACCTAAGAATTTGGTTTTTGATCATCTGAACGCGGGCGGAGCCGCGAGCAATGCTAGCAAAGAATAAAATAATGAATCTATCTTAATACATATAGATCCTATTTTATATAATAATTTATATTATTTTTAGTATAACATAAATGTGATTTTATGAGACCATGAAATTTTTTACTTCTAATATCTATTGTTACTGATGATCTGATAAAGCTGCCACATAGCTGATAGCCTATTCCATTATTCAAAACCATTAAGTCTAACACTACATCAGTTTGAGTGTTCAAACAATAACTGCATTATGCATACTATAAAACTCATTTTTCATGATAGTCATTCGATCCAATGTTCAGCAACATGAAGGATGAATTTAGTTTTATATACTAGATAAACATTTATTAAGGCACAAACTAATCCCATGGGGTCTGGTGTAAAGTCATAAACATTTATAACGTTTATTTTCTACGTCAAGCTAAAGTTTTACCGCGCACGCTCGAGCTTCGGACCGTCAAAGTGAAGCTTCGTTTCACGGCGTCCGCACGCGATCCCGCCATACTTTTACGAAACTTGTACTTTACGTGTCATAAAAGAAAATGCCCTCGTGGTGGGACTATCTGCACTTTAATCGACAGTACAATAATAAGAGAAACTTAGAAGAGGGATTATTCCAAATAGCATCACAAACTTGCAATATTTTGGTAAAAGTTAATAATACCAACAATATAAATTTAACGAGAAACAACAGGAGCGACGAGTATGGTTGCGCCGGGCCCCCTAAGGGAAAAAGTTCAATGCAGATCTGCGTGCCGAAGTTCAGGAAAAACTCTATCACTTCCGGCTGCAATCCTGGATTGTCTGTAAGTACCTTCTCTTTTTAAAATAATCTTAAGAATTTTCTTAGTTTCAGATACTTAATTTTTCATGGACCATTTATTTTCTTAGTTACCGTGTTGTTAAGCAATTTTAGATAAAGTTCTATTAAAATTTGAGTCATTTATTATTATTTATGTAATTACATATAGTAATTAGTAATAATTAATTAATTTAGTAACAAGCATTTTAAAAATTAAAAACTTAATTACTTTGACCTATTGATAATTATGGCTGAGTTTGAATTACTAAACCATTATAGATTATATGTTATCATATCATACGTGATAGGTATTTGACATGAAAATACCCAAGTTGTTAGAATTTTTTAACGATAACAATAAGAAGCTAATTTTTAAGTAGGTATTTAAAATTTTCAGAACTCATTTTTATGAGAATACTGTAATATTTATTAATAATATAATAAATTAAAGTTTTACGCGCTACACTGTAAAGGACTTCAAAATTTGTTTCTTGCAAGTTAAGCTAATCTTAAGAAAAGAAGAAACTTTGGATAAATAGTCAAAATTTGAAAAAAATATTAATTCACTTAATACTTTGTTTCTTTCTCTCCCGTGACCACGATTGCTTTAAAGCCTCGAAACGTCGAAAAACCAATATTCAAAATAAATCTGCGATATATTTCCAAAAGAGTTTTACTAATATTAATATTAGTAAAAATAAATAATTTTTTTATAATATGAATAAATAGAGCGAAAGAAATACGAAATCCTAATGAATGATGAAATTATTTTCATTTTTCACTTTCCGGTTAGGTATTTATTTTGTAATGTGGTTGGTGGAAGACAAATTTCCCAAAGTTAATCAACTGGTACGCATTGAACATTTTTGATTGAACTTTTTTCATTTTTGATTGAACGCACGCGGTGAAATTATCTTTATTTTATTATTTATAAAAGTAATAGGATTAATAATTATCGTATAATTTACGTCAGATGTGTTTGTCTTTTAATCTCGCGGTAAGGATGAAACCCCTAATTGGACTGGACTATTTCTCTTTCTGGCCCGCTATTTACCACTCTTTCATGGGTTGACTGGAAGAGATCTCTTATAGAGATAAGTACGCCTTTGTCTACGTCATTTTCTATGTATTTTTTTATTACTTGTTTAGTGCAATAAAGAATATATATAAAAACCCATGAATATCAAGAGGAAATACCACACGAAACGAATCGCAACTTGCATTGTGTTGGGTGGAAGGTAAGAAATAATATCTCTCACAATGCTTATTTATTCTTAAGTTAATCAAGTATAATTATTGTAAAAGTTATAGAACCTATGAATTATGTAGAAAACTTTTTAAAATCAGGTCTGGATGGGGAATGGAGATCATGAGATTTTGAGTAATTATAAAATCCTTTAAGCAAAATTATCTAACTATGAAAGTTAAGTGTAATATTTTAAGATTGACCAGCAACATATCCTCAATATTTGACAACAACTTCGTAGGCGCCGTGGCTTAGTTGGTTAAAGCGCCTGTCTAGTAAACAGGAGATCGCGAGTTCGAATCTCGCCGGTCTATTAGCCTTACCACTGCCGAACTTTTTCTGTGCTTTTTATTATCCCTTTTTTATTTATTTCATTATTATTTTATTACTTATTATGCTATTAAAAAAAGCTTAAAAAATCTATTTACGTGATCATATTGATGTACGAGTATGTGATTGAAAATATGAAATAACTTCTTATTAATTAAATCTTAATTATTTCACAGGTATTCGCTAATTTAATTAAAAGACACGTAGATATTTGTATATTGCCATATTGGTATATGCCATATTGGTATAGAAATAGAAGTATGAATACTTACATGTATATTCCACAAAGCACTAAATATTATTGCAGAAGGCACGCATGCACTAACTTGGTCTTGTTTGTATTTATCACATAGGTACTAGCGACTCACCGCCGCTACGTTTCGTGTTTGTCCATTAGTGAAGAACAAAACAAATCTATACCACGGGAACCGTACATTTTTCTAGAATAAAAAGTAACCTGTGTGTTATTCCAGACTATATAATCTATCTCTGTGTCAAATTTGATCCAGATCCGTTCAGTCGTTCTGGTGTGAAATCGTGGATAATAAATATAGAATAGAAAACAAGCGTCCTCACAAACTTTCACATTTATAATATTAGCATGGATGTACGTATGGCATAAATTATTTTCCATAGCATAACAGTATAGACTATTCTCTTAGTAGGTATATGAAAAATATATAATTCTTAAATTAATTTTTTTTACAACCACAATACAATAACCTATTCGTTGAGGCTAAACAAACGATATCTCTGCAGTATTTAGTCAAGAGTATTTTGCAGATTCCAGGTGACGCATCAGCATCATGCGAAGGTACCATATCAATGCTGTTAAAGTTACGGGATACTAATTCGAATCGATTAGATTGTGGAAGTTGGTCACATTATTTTACTGCCTAGAAAAGAGCTAATTTTCAACTTTCAATATTTTATTTAATACTAGCATTGCCCGCGGCTCCGCCCGCGTTCAGATGTGCAAAAACCAAATTCTAAGGTTTTACATATAAGTATTTTAAAATAAATAAATAAATATATGGGGACATTAACACACAGCGCCATCTAGTTCCATGGTGAGCTACGAGGCTTGTGTTATGGATACCAGATAGTTGATATACTACACATATATAACTTTAAATACATACATACTATAAATATAAACACCCATGACTGGAGTGCAAATATTCGTGCTCATCACACAAATGAATGCCCCCAGCGGGACTCGAACCCGCGACCGCTGGCACAGCAAGTAGGATCACTACAAACTGAGCCAAACGTGTCGTCAGTTACAGTCGTGTCGTCAGTATACATTGCAGTTTTTGTATTTTTTCTCAGAAATGAGACATTTTCCCGCGGTAAAAAGTATCCTATATGTTGATCCGGATATGCAGCTATCACCATACCAAATTTCTTTAAAATCCCTTCAGTGATTTTTCCGTGATTCGAACAGACAGACAGACAAAAATTCTAAAAACTATAGATTCGGCGTCTGTATCGATAATAATGACTATTTCAATTAGATTTTCTAAAAAATATTTAATGTCAGATTCGATTCAGAATTTTATTATACGTATAGAAAACGTTGTTTAAATTCAAACTTTACGTTGGTCGCTTTTCAGCATTTAAATTCTAACCCACTATTGTAAAGCCATAGTAATATTTAATGAGCCAAAAACTTAAAATCGTGCATTAATCGGGCTCGATGCTTCATTTTTTACGTTGACTATAATATTCAGAGTATAAAACATATAATTACAAAGCAATCGACGTGGTGTCGTGACTGATTTATGGTCGTAATTATTAGGCAATTGACATATTTTTCGGTGATACGACATGGAACAACTATTACTTCTATGAAAATCTGTTATAAAGCCCTGAGTTGATCACCGAACTCACGCAAACTATAGGTTAGGGGGCGAAAAGTTAACAAATATGGAGGTTCAATGCGACGATAAAAATCGTCTAGGCTTACCACTCTATGTCCTTGTCTTCCGTGTAAAAGATGCATTGCCGCGCGGGGTGAGTCCAGTCTACTTTGAATGGCCATCGGTAATAAACCATTTATCGCACACCGAATATATCGCCGAAGACGTGCGAAGCGAAGGCGAGCCCGCGTGTTGCATCTTGGTACTGGTGTGGTGGAGTTCAAATTTCTGCAAGCTGATTCGATTCGAGGTGAATGACCTGCTTCGTATGATTTTGTTTTGTTTGTAACTTAGCGTGCCGCGGTGTGTTGCCTTTATATTGATTTTACGTACAAAAGACATCGCTGCATACGCTGTGCCCTGACGGCGGCGATCGACCTTGTTCCAATTATTTACCCATTAACCGTGGCTTTGTGCTTGTTTTTCGGGAATGCCGTTAAGTTTCGGCTATTACAAATCCAATTTTATCGGGCTAATGTAAATTAGCTTATGACTAAGAGTTACGGTTTCGTTCTACGAACATAATTATATACTTGCATGAAACATGATTCTTAGGAACTGTATTAATGCTGCAGCTGGTCTCGGAAATTACATCAATCAGGTAATACCAATACAACGTTATATTATGAGATTAACTAATTATGTAAGCTGGAATGAGATTTTATTGGGTCGCATTGTATTATCAAAGCAAGGAGGATTTGCTAGGAGTCATTTAATATTATCAATCAAATGTATTGTACAATTAGTCCAATTGCACAAAAGAAAATTTTACTAAACTATATCCTAGTCAATGGTACAGAGATGCATTGTAAAGTTAAATGTGGTTTGCTCAAATTTAACAATAATATAAGCTACTAACTCACTCTCGCTCCGCTCAGGTTTGTTCCTAGTTACGTTTTAACGTTTAGATTTCTTAGAGATAAGATATTTTTATGCAGTAAAAAGTATCCTATATGTTGACCCGAATAACCAGCTACCATCATACCAAATTTCATCAAAATCCCTCCAGTGGTTTTTCCGTGATGCGGTAACAGACGGACAGACAGACAGAAATTCTAAAAACTATAGATTCGGCCTCTGTATCGATAATAATACCTATCTATTTCAATAAGATTTTCCAAAAAATATTTAATGTACAGGTTCCGCTTAGTTACAATTTTATTATATGTATGGATTAATAAATGTATTACGTAGGTTATTGCCATGATTTCACTAAAGTAAATAGCAAGGTATTTTGAACCACTATTAAAGTTGACACAAAGGGTTAAAATCTCTTAACAACCTATCTAAGTTCTTGGAAATTTATACCTGATACGACGGAGTTTGTCTAAGGTATAAGTTTTCACTTTATACCAACTTAGAGTGTGAAATTTTGTTATACTAATAGAAAAGAAAAGCTTAAAGTCATAAATAAATAAATTTATTTTGCACTTAAAACTATAAACCCAGAGAACTGAAAATTATTGTTTTTTTATACAATAAAATTTTATTATGTTCTAATACAAGCTCGTTGTCATGATTTATGTTGACTATATTTCTTAAATCTCTGCTGCTTCACTGGGATAGGTCTCTGTTCTAAAAGTCATTTATATGCTTAATCCTTATATCGTAAATATTAATACTTTTAATAACGAATACTAATCGTGAATTATGCAATAAATATTTACATTTATCTATACTCTATACAGATAAATAAAATTGAAGTATCTGTTTGTAATGTTATTTTGATAACAGCTTTTTACTAAATGCATATGGATGTATACACGGTACATATACCAAAACAACATTTTTTACAATTTTTGTCTGTCTGTCTGTTTGTTCCGGCTAATCTCTGAAATGGCTGGACCGATTTTGACGGGACTTCCATTGGCAGATAGCTAATGTAACTTAGGCTACTTTTATTTTAGAAAAAAAATAGGCTCCCACGAAAAAAAAATTTAAGACCAATGAAAAATTTCATAACATCCGATTCAAATAGGGAAGTTGTATAGGTACATACCATAGGAACGAACCCGAGTGAAGCGAGGGTGAGTCACTAGTATAGGTAATAATAATTAAAAATGATAGTTTAATAATATAACTAGTCTAATTATTTTATCCAATTAATAATACGTGTACAACACGACGCTACATGACTTGCAAGCAAACGCATTCTGACAGCTCTGTGAGTCAGGCGGTAACCTACATTTCAATGCTATGGGTGCTTAGTAACTTCTTGGGCGGTTATTTAGTATCATGACCTAGTTTAAGTACCGTATCCACGTATCTAACTTATTGCTACGAAATTCGTAGCGTTTACCGCGTCGTAGAGCACCCGCTACGTGATAGGTACGCGAAGCCCAAATACTGGCCACGGGCAATATTTACGAAAGTATATTATATAGGTATTTCGGTATTGATTGTACAATTTTGTTTCATTGAATTATGTATATATGTCCTTGAGACTTAGTAATACCAACATTTTCAATAAGGAATTATGACACTTTACAAAAATATGTCCACTTACAATTACCGATAAGGTAATGAAATTCGTAGCGCTCCGTAGCGCCGTAGAGATACGAATTACGCGGAACAGCGCCAAACACTAATTGCTGGCAATTTTGTATAGTACTAGCATTGCCCGCGGCTCCGCCCGCGTTCAAATGACCAAAAACCAAATTCTTAGGTTTAACATATTAGTATACTCTTACAATGCAGTTTTTGTATTTTTTCTCAGAAATGAGATATTTTCCCGTGGTAAAAAGTATCCTAAATGTTGACCCGGATAACCAGCTATCATCATACCAAATTTCATCAAAATCTGTCTAGTGGTTTTCTCGTGATGCGGTAACAGACAGACAGACAGACAGACAGATAAAAATTTTAAAAACTATAAATTCGGACTCTGTGTCGATAATAATACCTATCTATTTCAATAAGATTTTCCAAAAAATATTTAATGTACAGATTCAACTTAGTTACAATTTTATTATATGTATAGATTATATTGTTTACTATCCATTTACGTTTTTAACATATTTAATTAGCAAACATGATATTTCAAAGTTTAGAAAAATACGGAAATTAATTCTTTATATAACAAGTTATTAGGAATAATAATTGATATGGAAAGTAGATTTATTATATAATTTAATTGCCAAGAAACGTTATGTATACTTTGTTTATACTTTTACTCGAAGTAGTAAAAGTTAAATTTTCTTTAAAGCTTTTTTTCTTAGATTATTAGAGTTAGAATTAATTAAATAAAATTAGGTAACATAAAAAATTATTTAATTGATTAGGAAAAAAAATTGCTATGAATAATCGAAAATTAGAAAATAATTGAATTTGGTATTAAAAAACACTTACAATTTCTTTCCAATTTTATTACATTTACAGTTACATATCTAAATGAAATTGAAGAGTTTTAATAATGTAATTTGTTTTCTTTTTTTTTTATAAATAAGTTTGAAGACATTACTTAAAATTATTACTTTATTAAGTTAAATTTTAGTCGTACATACATTGTATTCAGATCTTTTTAACGTCCCACTGCTGGGCAAGGGCATCCCGTCAATACGAGGGGAAGCCGGCCATAGTCCACCACGCTTACCTAGTGCAGGTTGGTGGACTTCACACGTCTTTTGAAAACTTGCTAGGTTCTCTCAGACATGCAGGTTTCCTCACGATGTTTTTCTTCACCGTTAAGATAAGTGGTAATCAAGTTGGAAACGATTCTCGCACATGAAACTATCAGAGGTGCGAGACCCGGGATTTGAACTCGCTCCATTCGGTTACCACCACCTTTACATTACTACACATTAATAATACAAAATCCCTTTCAATATAATAGAAATACGAAGAAAATACAACATACATGACCTGTCATTAGCATTGTGTGACTCATAGTATTTATATGTACTACGAGAACCATGTAAGTGATCTTTTATAGATCGTACGTTGCTTATCTATTTAGTTTCTAGATACAAGTTAATTTTTAATTAAATGCCGTAGAATTGCTGAAACTCTGCGGTATTATGTGTTACGCTTATTTTATTTTTTATAAGATTTCTTGCAAATGCCAGCAGTTGTAGGTTGGGGTCAAGGTTCGAGACCGCTGGGCGCGTTTCGTCTCTGATTAATAGTTTATTTTACGAATCCATTAACCAAAGTGTTCAATTTAAGTCGTTTAGAATCAAGTTATATTTTAACATGCATATTTTTGAGAAACTTATTAATAATCATGATTTACATATTTATGTAGTTATATACTCGTATATCTTAAGTTTTACAGACGACAGACAGTAGAAAAAATTTATGAAGAAATATTGTATTAAGGACCAAGTATGTAAATTTCAGCTCAGTAAGTCTATCTATAGCCAGTATCATAGATACTTTTACAGTTTACTTTATTGCATTTAGTTGTATTAGCAAAATATAATAGAATAGAAATATTCATTTTACTTAAAATAATTTTCAGTAAAAATTGTTAAGATATAAGAAGCTAAAATGTTATAGACGATGATAATGATTTAAATCATTGAAAAGTGAACTACTTTTCAATGATAAGACAACTACAATAATTCTCCTCCATTCTAGAAATTATCTGAAAAAATAACATTATACCAAGGTGATGTGATATAACTGTCGAAGAGATAAAGGCTGTTTGTTCCGTTATTTTTCTAACGGAAAAGCTCGAAGTATTAGAAAACATTAGTTCTGAGGAGTTTCTCATTTTGTACAATTCACATAACATAAAATTTTGTTATAAAGGAAAATTCTTCGTGTTATATATATATTTTAAAATTTCAGAATTAATCTGTCATTTCATAATATAGAATTTTTTGGTTCTTTATGTAGCAGGTTCATATAGCTTATATTTTATAGTTCATTTTTTTTCTCTAGAAGCTACTAGATGCTTCCAAAGCCATTAAAGTCAAATCACAGCGATTAATGGTTTTAAGATAATTGGATAAATTAAAAGAACTGAAATCAAAAATATTTATTCTATCTATTTGGGAGCCTTCTTGTTAATATGGGATCACTCTAGAGGTGTAACGTATTCATAAAAAAAAGAATTATGGAAATAGATTCAAGAAGACATCGCAAAAAAAAAATCTTATCTTACTGAGACTAGCCAACAGCGCTCAAGAAAATAATGATACTTTTGTTTGATAATAAAATATGATATCAATGCATAAAATATGTACCTATATATTTTTTTAAATAATTATATTATGGTCTTCGTTTGCTTTAACAGGAAAATAATAAAAAGAATATAAACCATACTATTTTTATTACGGGATC